CAAAATCTGGACATCATTCACAAGATTTATCAATGTCTGGATCCGAATTATAAAAATCCAGGATTGGATTGTTAAAAACTGGAATAACATTTTTGCAAGGGATAAGTATGTGACATCTGGCCAGTAACTTATTTTGGATCAACAGCAAAAACAGATGTGAGAAAGGCTGAATTTGATGGATGCATGTCTCTTTTCAGCCTATGTAACAATGTAAAATATATCAAATAAAAGTAGAAACATGAGTGTCAATAACATAAATATATAACAAAACCATCTTGAAATTAAAGGGACACCATAGTCACCAAAACAACTTTAGCTTAATGAATCAGTTTTGGTGTATAGATCACGCCCCTGCAGTCTCACTGGTCAATTATCTGCCATTTAGGAGTTAAATCACTTTGTTTAGGAACCCTAGTCACACCTCCCTGCATGTGACTTGCACACCCTTCATAAACACTTCCTGTAAAAAGTCATCTAAAGTTTATCCTTCCTTTATTGCAAGTTCTGTTTAATTTAGATTTTCTTATCCCCTGCTATGTTAATAGCTTACTAGACCTTGCAAGAGCCTCTTGTATGAGCAAGAGATGAAATTGCTTAAGGTAAATTACATCTGATTGAAAGTGAAACCATTTTTTTTTCATCGTGGCTGTATCAATCAGAGCCAGGGGAGGTGTGACAAGGGCTGCATAAACAGAAACAAAGTGATTTAACTCCTAAATGGCAGTGAATTGAGCAGTAAAACCTGAGAGGCATGATCTATATACTAAAACTGCTTCATTAAGCTAAAGTTGTTTCGGTGACTATAGTGTTCCTTTAACTTGCTGCCTCAGCCACCACCTAAAACGCTGTGAGTGAGGTTAATGTCTTCTAAACTGTTAGCAGCCAGTGTCTGCGCATCCATTAATACCATGTCTAATAGTCTAATAACCGTATTGATCTACAACCCCTATGATGATGTTAGGTGGGGCTAAGGGAAGATTTTACGCGACTGATAGTTTCATGAAGATCATATTGATCCCCATATGCTTTTGCTTTTATTTGTTTACATTTTACTATGGCCCCTGGCTAGCAAGCGAGTACTTAATAGCGGATTTATTGTTTGTAAACTATTCAACCATATGTTACTTTGTACTGGTGTCTTTAATCTATATATATATATATATATAGATTTTTTTTTTTTAATAGTGTATAAAATATACACACCTACATAAAGCATCATTGTATCTTACATCTTTACAAAATTGTTGCATTGCCATGGCAACTTGTTTATTCACGAACCTGCATTGAAGGGAAATATACTGGCTGGTGTGTTTGCTCCTTTAATCAGCTAGGGAGTAATGGACAGAAGTCAGGCTAAAGTTCTGATCTATTTATAAAATGGACTTGTGGGTATAATATTAATAAATAGTACATAAAGCCAGCATTAACCTAAACTTGCATATATCATAAAGATGCTTCAGGGCCAAAACATACAATATAAAGAATACAACCCACTCCTTTCTAAACTACCTTTAAAACTCACTAAGTTGATGAAAAAAAAAAACACCCTAAAATAGGTAAAATTATTATACTTTGTTATAATATGACCATACATTGCATAGATGATGCAATATTTTATATATAATGTTGATGGTTTCTAGAAGCGCACCTATGATGCTTGCTTCGCTTCCATCTTATATGTTTCATGTAACGGAAGAGTTTGCCAAACTTGTTGAAGCTGCAGATTTTGGGTAGAAAGGTTACCTGGATAAATTAGGTTTAGGCAAAGAGCGTTACTCGTCGCATTTTTTCAGAATCGGGGCTGCAATGGAAGAGGCGAGGTTTGGATTAAGTGATGGAATCATTCAAATGCTGGGAAGATGGGATTCTAACAGATTCCAATTATATGTCAGACCTCATTTGTTATTAAAAAAAAAAAAAAAAAACACGATGAAGGAATTCCTTATGTGTAAGTGGTTGACTGGTTCATCAAAGTTTGGTGTTTCATATAATTGGTGCATATATTTCTCTTTCTGTAATAAGAATCCGGCGTTTGCCTGGGTTATTGGTCACTCGTTTGTAGATTGGGCCCAGAAGAAGGCACAGGAGCGCACATATGGCGAGAATCTGGGTTTGAAGAACACTTCAGTTAAAATATATTGGAAAGGCACCAGTGGTGCTAAGTGGTCATATTTATTGGAAATGTTGCAACAAGTTTATCAATTTTTCCCTACCGAGGTGTGATAATAGTGCATTTAGGAGGTAATGACATTGGGGCAACAAAATCAGTGAATTTGTTGCAAGAGATTGAGAAGGATCTGGTTTTTGTAGCACACATTTTTCCAGTAGCTTGTTTTATTTATATATTTAATTTGGGTATTTAGTCTATGGTCGAGATGGCCGTGGGCTTTGGGGGCCAACGAGTTTGGTTGCTCAGGACCTCGGTGGCTTTGGAATATAAGTCACCCTCCTGGGCATCACAGGAGGGTGGATTTGGTTAATTTGGTTGGAAATATTTATTTTTGGCTCCTGGCTTTAAGGGGCAGAGCCTGGAAATGGTTAATGGTTATTTGGTTTTGGTTTAACCCCTTAAGGACCGCTGACGGTTCAAGACCGTCATCAGAAACATCCCCTTGAGGACCGATGACGATCCTGAACCTTCATAACAGAAATATTTACTTACCTGATCGCCGCCGGGGGACTGGCGTTGCTCCCGGTGTAGGGGGACTGCCTAACATCCCAGACAGTGCCCCCTCGGCGAATTAGGCCCCCATGGCCATGTGATCACTCTAGCAGAGCAGTCGCATGGCCACAATAGGCAGTTTCCCGGAATGTGTAAAATAAAAATATGTTAATGAATAAAAATATAATTATGTGTGTGTGTGTATGTATATGTGTGTGTGTATATATATATATATATATATATATGTATATATGTGTGTGTCTATATATCTTATATATATAATGTCATACTAAGTGTATATTTATATTAATATATACATATATTAATATAAAAATACACTCAGAATTAAATTACACACGTGTATATATATAATATATATAATAACTATATATATTGTGTATATATATTATAATAAAATATAAATAATAAGTAAATAAAAATAAATATGAAAACTTAAAAATAATAAAAAGAAAAAAAGAAAAATTATATATATATGAAATTTTATTCTAACTGTATTTTGATATTAATATATATTTATATCAAAATACACTTAGAATGACATTTTATATATATATAAATATAATTAATACAAAAAAAATATATATATACAAAATTACATAAATAATTTCATAAATATACATGTAGACTTCAAATATATAAATATGTATATATATTTAAATTCTATGTGCATATTTATGTAATATTTTTACATAATTAAGTAATTTTATTGATTGCAATTTGAGGGACCTGCCTGACAACCCAGGCAGAAAGTCCAGAAAATTTAATTTGCTAGCACTGTATTTAACCCTGTAACTTTCTATGACACCCTAAAACCTGTACATGGGGGGGGTATGTTTTACTCTGGAGACTTTGCTGAACACAAATATTAGTGTTTCAAAACTTATCACAGCGATGATATTGTCAGTGAAAGTGACATTTTTTGCATCTTTCACACACAAACGGCACTTTAATTGATTAAATAATTGTTGTGATATGTTTTACTGTTTTGAAACACTAATATTTGTGTTCAGCAAAGTCGCCCGAGTCTAACAGTACACTCCATGTACAAGTTTTATAGTGTTTTAGAAAGTTAAAAGGTAAAAATTTTTACCTTGAAAATTGCCATGTTGCCTTTGAGAGCGTATGGTAGCCCAGGAATGAGAATTACCCCCATGATGGCATACCATTTTCAAAAGAAGGCAACCCAAGGTATTGCAAATGGGGTATGTTCAGTCTTTTTAGTAGCCACTTAGTCACAAACACTGGCCAAAGTTAGCGTTCATAATAGTTTTTTGCATTTTTAACACACAAACAAATATAAATGCTAACTTTGGCCAGTGTTTGTGACTAAGTGGCTACTAAAAAAGACTGGACATACCCCATATTAAATACCGTGGGTTGTCTACTTTAAAAAAATATGTACATGTGAGGTGTGATTCAGATTCAGAGATTTATGACAGATAAGTGTTACAATGTCACTATTGATACATTTTAAAAATATATATTTTGAAACAGCAATTTCCTATTTGTACCTATAGCCCTATAACTTGCAAAAAAAGCAAAAAAGCATGTAAACACTGGGAGTTTTTAAACTCAGGGCAAAATTTTGAATCTATTTAGCTGTGCTTTTCATTAATTTTTGTAGATAAGTAAAAGATTTTTCATGTAAAAGTAAAAAAAAATGTTTTATTTTAAATTTTTCACCATTTTTCTTTTTTTTTTTTTAAGTAAATTATATGACATGATACAAATAATGGTATGTAAAGAAAGCCCTTCTTGTCCTGAAAAGAACAACAATATATAATTTGTATCGGAACAGTAAATGAGAGAGGGGAAAATTACAGCTAAACACAAACACCACAAAAGTGTTAAAACAGCCCTGGTCCTTAACGTACAACATGGTCAAAACAGTCTGGTCCTGAAGGAGTTAAAGTTATGATTGATTATTAATATTGATGTTGAAATTGGAATTGTGAAATCTGTAAGAAAAGTCATGGCCAAATGTTTTTCAATTTATCAAAATAAACAGATTAAAGGAAAAGGTTGTTTTGTGTTTTATTTATACTATGTATCATTATGAATGCAACATTCAAACCTCATGCCTTGTATTCTAATCTGAGGTGATAAATACATTCTAATAAATCCTGTCCCTGGTACAGACTCAGCAGAAGAAGGAAGCGGGGAGGCTCTGCACAGCCTGTGTGTCCCATTGCTCCAGGTAAGGGCTGACTATATCTGCAGCTGTACTTACACTGATACACCCCTTGTGCTGTGTAGGGTTAAATGTGGAAAGAGATCTCTCCAAGGTGTGACTCTGGGTTGTCCATTACACTAAGCAGTAATAGAGCAGCATTGCTCATGGTACAGAAACATTAGCAGCAGAGAGGAGGCATCCTGCCTGTTCATTAGAGATGCAAAGTGACATCATGACTGTGCTAGCTAAAGGATGGGAATAATGAGGAGGCGGGGAGGCTGCACACTTTATGTGTGTGTGTGTGTCTGTATGTGTGTGTGTCTGTAGGCAGCCAGCTCTGAACCCTGCAGTCACTATACAGCAACCCAGAAGCCTGCTCGCCCTGCACTGTCACAGCTCTGTATGACTGTCACCAAGGTAAGGAGAGCCAGCTCTGTGTGGGAGACATGGAGGCAGAGAGCTGGGAGGGATAGAACACGGAGAGGGAGAGCCAGATGGGGGATGGCAGTGATGTGAGTAGTGATAACACTGCCATGTGTCCTCCATCCATAGACAGCTAAGGTCTATAATGGAAGATGTTTAGTTAATGGGGGTTTATACACATTGCTTTACCCCAGGCTGCTTTAAGATCTCAACCGTAAACCACCCTGCGTGAATGGCAGTGTATGTTTACATGATGACAGCAACCATCCACCTCTTCTCATCTGCCTCACCAACTTCTGCACATGGAATGTTCCCATCAGGCTCTTCCCATGTGTTACTGTCTTCCTTCTTCTAATATGGTGTATCTGTATTATGTATCTATATAACAGGGCAATACATGATTAACATGGGCAGCAATGCTTGTCATATCTGACCAAGCCCTACATGCAACCTGATACCTATGTGAGGATGCACCTACCTGGGCATGGAGTCCATGGGAAGACAGGGAGTGGAGCTCATTATGGGCCTATATGAGGGGCAGTAGGAGCAGCTCTCTGTATTAGTGAGGTGACAGAATGAGTTTTGAGGTTTGGTCATTGGAGTGGCTGATTTTGAGAAGTGAATTATGAGTGGTCTGTGTTCTTTGAGTCTGCTCAGTATGTACATAAAAACTGCCTGCTCACTGAGGGCCTTTATATATAGAAACTGAGTGCCCGCTCACTGAGGGGCATGTATATAAAACTGAGTGCCTGCCCACTGAGGGTCATGTATATAAAACTGAGTGCCTGCTCACTGAGGGCCATGTATATAGAAACTGAGTGCCTGCTCACTGAGGGCCATGTATACAGAAACTGAGTGCCTGCTCACTGAGGGCCATGTATATAGAAACTGAGTGCCTGCTTACTCTGGGCCATGTATATAAAAACCGAGTGCCTGCTCACTGAGGGCCATGTATATAGAAACTGAATGCCTGCTCACTGAGGGCCATGTATATAGAAACTGAGTGCCTGCTCACTGAGGGCCATGTATACAGAAACTGAGTGCCTGCTCACTGAGGGCCATGTATATAGAAACTGAGTGCCTGCTTACTCTGGGCCATGTATATAAAAACCGAGTGCCTGCTCACTGAGGGCCATGTATATAGAAACTGAATGCCTGCTCACTGAGGGCCATGTATATAGAAACTGAGTGCCTGCTCACTGAGGGCCATGTATATAGAAACTGAGTGCCTGCTCACTGAGGGCCATGTATATAGAAACTGAGTGCCTGCTCACTGAGGGCCATGTATATGGAAGGTGCCTGTTCACTGAGAGCCATATATATAGAAACTGAGTGCCTGCTTACTGAGGGCCATGTATATAGAAGCTGCCTGCTTACTGAGAACCATGTATATAGAAGCTGCCTGCTCACTGAGGGCCATGTAAATAGAAGCTGCCTGCTCACTGAGAGCCATGTATATAGAAGCTGCCTGCTCACCGAGAGCCATGTATATAGAAGCTGCCTGCTCACCAAGGGCCATGTATATAGAAGCTGCCTGCACACCAAGAGCCATGTATATAGAACCTGCCTGCTCACCAAGGGCCATGTATAGAGAAGCTGCCTGCTCACTGAGAGCCATGTATATAGAAGCTGCCTGCTCACTGAAGGGCCATGTATATAGAAGCTGCCTGCTCACTGAGGGCCATGTATATAGAAACTGAGTGCCTGCTCACCGAGGGCCATGTATATAGAAACTGAGTGCCTACTCACTGAGGGCCATGCATATAGAAACTGCCTGTTCACTGATGGCCATGTATTTAGAAGCTGCCTGCTCACTGAGGGCCATGTATTTAGAAGCTGCAGGCTCACAGAGGGCCATTCATATAGAAACTGAGTGCCTGCTCACCGAGGGCCATGTATATAGAAACTGAGTGCCTGCTCACTGAGGGCCATGTATATAGAAGCTGCCTGCTCACTGAGGGCCATAAATATATAGAAACTGAGTGCCTGCTCACCGAGGGCCATGTATAAAGAAGCTGCCTGCTCACCTAGGACCATGCACTGGCCCGGGAAATGTGGAGCTTTGACAAGAGAATTGCACATTTTAGGCCAGTTCTAGAAAAATAGTTGGATGTTTTTAAATTTTTCTGGCCTAATAGTTGCAGTTCTTTTTCTTAACTTAACTTATGTCCAGGTTAAGACGTAAACACCACAGACTTTCGTTTTGCTGAAAACTGAATTGAGCATTATGACATTGCTTATTTAGTTAATGAACTGACAGTAAAAGTCTGTTCAAAGCTCAAGGCCACAAGATGTATTCCTGGCAGGGTCAACTCGTCTTTTGGAGGTTGATAAAATCAGTTACACTGAGTTTTATAATAAAACATTTCCACCCTATAGTATGTAACAGTCAAATTAATTAAGGAAGCACCATTTGTTTACTGCCTTGACTAATCACTTTGCTTCCCCCAGTATAATATACGAGATGCACTTTCATGTGATGTCCACCAGCATTTAGAAGTGATATGTATCCAGGGAGACATTGGGGGGTCTGGCAACCTTTCTACCTAGGAATTGGTAGAATTATCAATGTTTCTTCCTGGTAAACGGTCATTATTTGTACATTAAAAGCACATATGGGAAATGACCTTCCAGTAAGATCATTGAACATTCACTAGATTAATCAGATGTAAAATCTGAGCCTATCAATCTCCAAACCAGGAGTGAAAAAAACATACTGTTTCTATGGCTGTATAGCCCTGGTTTACTGGACAGGATAATGCAGCAAATAGTGCATATAACATTCAGGCAGTATACTGGTCAATGACAATCCTCACACTTTCTCTATATCTTCTAAAATGTTTAGAGTAATATAACAGACGTTTCCATTAAGCTCCAAATATGCCTCTGTCCTTATCATAACATGAGACAGACAGCATCCTTGCTAGGCCAGTAGCATCACTAGATTGGTACCCAGAGAGATGCTGGTTGTGTTACATTGCCCTCAGTATCTTTGTACCCATACCTAAGCTGTGTATGTGTGCTTGGGATGGATACTGCAGTGAGGAGGGGCCTTCCTCTGCCAGTCTGCAGCAGTCAGACAGAGTGAATGACATCACGCAGGATAAATAGCACAGTGCAGGATGAAATGTTCTGCACAGATTATGGAAGAATGTGCTTGACCATAGCCCCCGGGAGATATGCTCAAAGTCACCATTATCACAAAATGTACAATTATCACTTGTGTTCAGACACAATCACCCCTTCTGGACAGTCCAACAAGAATAGTTTGAAAGAGTCTCTTTCAGCTTGTCTGTAATAAACGAATGAATTTAGCCATTGGCAAAGATAAGGTTGGGCTGTGAATCCCCCATATGATAATGTACACTTTCTGTCAGGACTGGGCTACAAATAGAAATGACTTAAATACAATTTTCAATAGATCACTGTTGTCCAATTTGTAACTTCCCAGTGTCTGTAGAGCTACAACACCCATTAGGCCCAGTCAGCCACAGCCACACACCCTCAGGGTTAATCGCTAAAGAGAGATTTGTTGGGAATTCAAAGTGAATTTGAAATTTAAAGGACAGCTGTCATAAAAGTTTCACTTCTTGTGCTTTAAATGTTAAATACAGTTTATGACAATATATATATATATATATTTTTTAAATAATGTGTACTGATGTTTGAGAAGTTTAAATTTTTATCTGGCTGAGAAGTCAGTTAGGTTACAGCCAGCAACTTAAAGGACCACTATAGTGCCAGGAAAACAAACATGTTTTCCTGGCACTATGTAGTCCTTAGGTATCCCCTACCCTCAGGCGTTTTTAATGCGCACACCGCTCTGGCCACGCATGCACATTCGACTCCCCCGTTAATACCCCTTCAGCCACTTTCCTTAATCCAGCGCCGGGCTCCCTCGGTGCTGGTGACCTCTCCCCCCCCGACATTGGCTCCCGAGTGGAGTCGAATGTGCATGCGTGGCCAGAGCCGCGCGCGCATTAAAAACGCCTGCTTTCCTATGGATGTCAGCGTCTTCTCACTGTGATTTTCATAGTGAGAATCGCAGAAGCTGCCTCTAGTGGCTGTCAGTTAAAACTAGAGGGACCTGGCACCCAGACCACTTCATTGAGCTGAAGTGGTCTGGGTGCCTATAGTGGTCTGTGTGCCTATAGTGGTCCTTTAACTTGCGTTAAGTTGAGTTAAAGTTAAAGGGACACTATAGTCACCAAAACAACTTTAGCTTAATGAAGCAGTTTTTGTGTATAGATCATGCCTCTGCAATTTCATTTCACAGTTCACTTCCATTTCGGAGTTAAATTACTTTTGTTTCTGTTTATGCAGCCCTAGCCACACCTCCGATGGCTGTGACTGACACAGCCTGCATGAAAATAAAATGCTTTCATTTTCAATCAGATGTAACTTTACTTTAAAAGTTTGCATTTCCTGCTCTGTAAATTGAACTTTAATCACACATAGGAGGCTCATGCATGGTCTAGCAAGTTATCAACAGAGCAGGAGATAAGAAATTCTAAATTAAACAGAATTTGCCATAAAGGAAGTGTAACTATTAGAAGACCTTTTACAGGAAGTGTTTAAGATGGCTGTGTTAATCACATGCAGGGAGGTGTACCTAGGGCTGCCTAAACACAATTATTTAACTCCTAAATGGCATAGAATTGAGCAGTGATATTGCAGGGGCATGATCTATACACCAAAACTGCTTCATTAACCCCTTAAGGACACATGACGTGTGACATATCATGATTCCCTTTTATTACAGACGTTTGGTCCTTAAGGGGTTAAGCTAAAGTTGTTCTGGTGACTCTAGTGTTCCTTTAAGTTGAGCAGCAGTTGGTCAGATAACTGTAGAGTCTGACCCTACATGGCTGCATGACCTGATAAAAAGGAAAATTTTCTCCAAAAAAAATCAATACACATAATTTGAAAAAATATTGTAACTTTTTATTAGATATAATAAACTTTAAAAAAAAAAATGTAAGTCATCGAAGCTTCCAGTTTGGTTATCTTGGTGTAAAATTTTAAATTCACTTTGAATTTGGAGTGATTACAGAATACTACCATCAGCAAAGCTGACTTGAGCTGGCTGAGATTTTTCCAGTTTGGCTGTTTTTACCCTGTATTGAAATTTACTTTGAATTCTCACTTTAATGAATAACCCTAAAGCTGGACAAGTATCTGCTTGTTACCCCTGGTCTGCAATCTATTGATTAATGGATTATTATTAACTTTCATCCCTAATTGGAAGTGGTATCAGCTATTCTTGTTTGTTTTACCTCTATTGGTACCTCAGTATGTGTAATGTTTTGGAACGATCAATAAATAATACTGTACCTTTGACCTTTCAGTTTCTTGGTAAAAAAACAACAACACTTGGACGCAGAATTATTAGCATCCATTAAGACATCATTAATACTGAATGAGCTGTATCTTTAACATTAAAGGATAGAGAATGTCTATGCAGTGCATTAATCCCATCACGTGACAACCAGGATGGAGAATGAAGCATATTGGTTTTCCATCTAATGAGACAGAAGTCCTGGCTCTTCATTTCTAAAGTTACAGTGAATTCCTAAAATCCAATTATATTCCCTCTGCAATTGGGTTATTTTACTATTTATAAAGCGACAACAAATTCTGCAGCGCCAGGAGTTAGCCATCTGGCCACCTCAGGGAACCCCCGATGCCATGCTAGGTAAGGCAGAGCAGGCACCTTCTTACCTTGATGGCAGGTGCCTGCTCTGCCAACAAATGCCGTTTACCTGAAGAGAGGGGGATGGAGAAAGCAGGCGGCGATGGAGGCTGTTCTTGCAGCCTCTCACTCCTCCCTCGCACGCCTTCTGTGATGCTGGGAGCCGAAATATGACGTCATTCCGGCCTCAGCATACTAAACAGCGGGCAGGAGGAGTGAGTGTGTGTGTGTCAGTGAGTAAGTGTATGTCTGTCAGTGAGTGTCTGTATGTGAGTGTGTGTGTCTGTCAGTGAGTGAGTGTATGTATGTCAGTGAGTATGTGTGTGTGTCTGTCTGTCAGTGAGTGAGTGTATGTCTGTCACTGAGTGTGTGTGTGTGTGTCAGTCAGTGAGTGTCTGTCAGTGAGTGTCTGTCAGTGAGTGAGTGTATGTCTGTCACTGAGTGTCTGTGTGTGTGTGTGTGTGTCTGTCAGTGAGTGTATGTATGTTAGTGAGTGCGTGTGTGTGTGTGTGTGTCAGTGAGTGAGTGTTGGACTGTCAGTGTGTGTGAGTGTGTGCCTGTGTGTGTGTCTGTCTGTCTGTCAGTGAGTGAGTGTATGTCTGTCACTGAGTGCGTGTTTGTGTCTGTCAGTGAGTGTCTGTGTGTGTGTGTCTGTCAGTTAGTGAGTGTATGTATGTCAGTGAGTGTCTGTGTGCATCTCTGTCAGTGAGTGAGTGTATGTCTGCCAGTGTCTGTGAGTGTCTGTCTGTGTGTGTGTTTGTCAGTGAGTGAGTGTATGTCTGTCAGTGAGTGTCTTTGTGTGTGTCTGTCAGTGAGTGAGTGTATGTATGTCAGTGAGTGTCTGTGTGTATGTCTGTCAGTGAGCGAGTGAGTGTTTGACTATCAGTGTGTGTGAGTGTCTGTCTATCTGTGTGTGTGTCTGTCAGTGAGCGTGTATGGATATCAGTGTGTGTCTGTCAGTGAGTGAGTGTATGTCTGTCAGTAAGTGTATGTGTGTGTGTCTGTCAGTGAGTGAGTGTATGTCTGTCAGTGAGTGAGTGTATGTATGTTAGTGAGTGTCTGTGTGTGTGTCTGTCAGTGAGTGAGTGAATGTTTGACTGCCAATGTGTGTGAGTATCTGCCTGTGTGTGTCTGTCAGTGACTGTATGTATGTCAGTGAGTGTGTGTCTGTCAGTGAGTGAGTGTATGTATGCCAGTGAGTGTCTGTGTGTGTGTGTGTGTGTGTATGTCTGTCAGTGAGTGAGTGTTTGACTGTCAGTGTGTGTGAGTGTCTGTCTGTGTGTGTGTGTCAGTGAGTGAGTGTATGGATGTCAGTGAGTATGTGTCTGTCAGTAAGAGCGTGTAAGTCTCTCAGTGAGTGAGTGTATGTCTGTCAGTAAGTGTGTGTGTGTGTGTCTGTGTGTGTGTGTGTCTATCATTGAGTTTCTGTGTGTGTGTCAGTGAGTGAGTCTATGTGTGTTAGTGAGTGAGTGTATGTCTGTCATTGAGTGTGTGTCTGTCAGTGAGTGTGTGGGTCTGCCAGTGAGTGAGTGACACGAGGGGGCGGCAAAATGGATCTTTGCCTAGGGCGGCAGAAATCCTTGCAGCGGCCCTGAGTCCAGACAATTTGCATCCATCTGTCCATGCAAGGATTAAACTAACCAGAGAATTTAGTTGGCAGTTTTCTAGAGCATTTTTTTTAAATGAATAGTGCAGGCACCATAACCTCTACAGCTTGCTGCGGTGTTTTTAGTGCCAGGAGTGTTATGGTGATTTTGATTGTTTGGTTGTTTTTGTTGTTGTTGTGAAGACACAGACAACAGAATCAGCAGCTATATTAATATGTCAGGAACACAAGTTTGCGATAAAGAAAATAAGACATCAGTAAGACACGCTGACATGGTTGCACATGAAAAATAACAATAAGTGTGTTCAGGGCATGTATATGTTATGCAGAGTTACTAGACAGTAGGGGTCACACAATCGGCCATACTAACTTAGTAACAAAGAAATCACAACTGTACTTATTAAAAATTAATGAATGGTATAATTGGAACAAGCAAATAAAATACTGCTGGCGTAGCTGGTAAGTTAGCATGTGGAGGCAGCACACAAAGAAATAGGGACTGAATTGTGAACAAAACTGGTTATACAAACTACCATTTCTCCAGACATTAAAGAGGCAGTCAATTCACATATTGGCTCTCAATCAATTCCATGCTCAGGAATTAGCCGGCCAGTCCGCCACCGAAGCCACACAGGCCTCCTGAGGATCCATGTGGCACTCAAATATGTATGCATACTGTATGCTATCGCCAAGACTTATATCTTAATCGATGCCCAATGATAGCAGGCCGAGGGATGTCTGCGCCTAGTGTGTCAGTTTTGGAATAATATTCTGGCAAGGATTGGCAGAAGCTCCATGTAGCCCACCATAAAGCAGATGTGGCTCAGCTTGGGGCATTGTATCGGTCCCCAGCGTAGGTAAGTGAGGTAGCAATCATAAGCAGGCCCCAAAGTTGGTGTGCTCCCTGGGTGTGTGTATGAGCAATACAGTCCCGAAGCATTGGCTTAGTGTAGCCCAGAATCCTTTACATAGGGCAACAAATGTGATGAGTAAATCTGTGATTTCCAAGGACACGTGAGTGATTGGCTAGGAATCAGCAGCCATCTTAGGTGTGTGTGGACGCCTCAAAGTCATCCGCCGTTGGGCAAACTCCAGGGTGGACTGGGATGACCCCCACTGGTGCAAGGAGCCAGCAATAAGTAATGTTGAACAGCAGATGTGTCACAGGTGTGGTGTATTACCAAACTATATACATTATGCACGCGTACACATATAAACTCTCCTCCGTTTACTTTAACAAATATTTATTCGGGGTAAAACAACAACAGCATACAAATAATGACACACAATCTAACTAAACCAACAACCACAATCTAACCAACTAACAATAACAACTAAACCTTATAAATTCATCAAATCCCACTCACAGTTCACCACGATAACCTTAGCCCATGTCTGCTCACATGTTTGCTCAATAGCACAGCCAAGAAGGAACAGGGAGGAACATAGATAAAGGGAAGTGGTTATATCTTTCTGACTTGTAAAGGTATTGAATTACCTAATTACCATATCAAAGGGTAAAGATTATCCTCCTATAAGAAAGGCTGGGTCACCATATTAGTTTGAAATATATATATATATATATATATATATATATATATATAAAAAAGTGATACAGCACTCTTACCATGATCCCGGTGCTACCACCCTTGGGGCTGGCTACCCCGATTGTAATAGTTGAACAAAATTGTGGTCCAATTATGCAGCAGATTTATATGGAAAGAGTGCATTTCAATCTCAAAGAGATATTTTTTAAGCTCATTAGTTTGATGACAGAATGTGGGCAAGAGAGCAGGGTGCCGGCTGTTCACCTCACTCACTGCCCGAGTAGGCCGCAGTCAGAGATGCTTCAGATCTCCCACAAATGCTCCAAAATCCTGGTTCTTGGGCTGAGTCACGGCTTCAACACCGATTTGAACAATTAGCCTCCGCTTTCTGGTGCAAGGTGAGTATATCTGCCGTTATCAGCGTAAAAGGCTGTAAGATTCAGGAGCTGCTTTTACATGTGACCAGTCAGCATGGCGGTCAGGCCTTGCCCCCCTTTATTGTTTGTTTTAAGTGTGGACTGCATAGCTGAAATATCAAGTTAAAAGAAAACAGCACATTTGTCTATAAACTGCTCCCTAGCCATACATGAAAATGTAAATCATGAAAACGTGTGGTTTGTTTTAATTTATTTGTTTTGTCTTTTTAGAAATATGGGGAGGGTGTATAACATAAGAGATTATGTGATATTACTTGCCATGCACCCGACAGGTTCAGCAAAATCACAGTGGAACAAATTATTTTATTACATAGCGGTGAAAAACTAACATAATACTGTTCTAATAATCTACTGATGTGCAATTTGAGAACATTTAGGGGAATGCAGATTCCCACCAAGACAGCAGATTGTAAACATTATATCAACAAAATATGTGCTGTAAATAAAGCATTCTTTCTAAATCCATCTGTGTTTTAAAAGGTGCAGCAGGCTGGTATTTCACCTTGCAAAAATGTCTCAGTATGTCTGAAAGTCCCTTCCTAAATGCTTCACTCCTGCCTGCATTTAAGTATTATCATTGCATACCTCCCAACAATCAGGAGAGGAGAATCAGGATGGGGTGTGCAGGTCAGAGGGGGCCTCACCAGTGATGTGACTTGGGTCACTAGCAATACCATAACGGAGTGTCTACTTGTCTGACCCCCAGCCTAGTTCAGGACCATGTAAATATCTTTCTGTGATTGATTTATGAAATAAGGTGGAATTTTTATTTTACTACAAGGTAATTTCTTACCTATACTTACCAATACTGATGGGCTTCAGGAACACAGAGGCACACTTACAGGGTTATTCACTAAAGTGAGAATTCAAAGTGAATTTAAAGGAACACTATAGTCATCAAAACAACTTTAGCTTAATGAAGAAGTTTTGGTGTATAGATCATGCCTCTGCAGTCTCACTGCTCATTTCTTTGCCTTTTAGGAGTTAAATCACTTTGTTTATACAGCCATAGCTACACCTCCCTGCATGTGACTTACACAGCCTTCCAAAACACTTCCTGTATAGAGTCATCTAATATTAACGCTTCCTTTACTGCAAATTCTGTTTAATTTAGCATTTCATACCTCCTGCTCTGTTAAAGCTTGCTAGATCCTTCAGGAGTTTCCTGTATGTGAATAAAATTCAATTTAGAGAGCAGGAGATAAAAACTTTTAAAGTAAGTTACATCTGATTGAAATTTAAACCATTTTTTTGTTTCATGCAGGCTGTGTCAGTCACAGCCAAGGGAGGTGTTACCAGGGCTGCCTAAACAGAAACAAAAAGGATTTAACTTATAAATGGCAGAGAAGCGATCAATGAAACTTCAGGGGAATGATCTATACACCCAAACTGCTGCATTAAGTTACGTTTGTTTTGGTTATTATAGTGGCCCTTTACGGCCAAAGTAGCCAAATTGGAAAATGTCTGCAAATCAGCTATGCTTCTAGTTTAGTATATATATATACAGACAGACAGAAAACAGATAGATAGAAAGATCTTCGTGAAGCTGAGAAGAATTTTACATCTTCTTTTTCAGATGCCATGAATTATGCAAACACTGATTGTTCTTGAATACACCCTACAATACCCTCTTTACTAGTTTCCTTGTCTTGGCCCCAAAGGGCAAAGGATGTAAAGCTCAGCATGTGTTCTTTAGTCTATCTTTACTTCAAAAGACAATGAAGGCTTCTGATGTTTGCTACTGGTGAGAGGGGCAGGCCTAATTTTTTTATTTTAATGGATCTAAAATAAACCTATTTTGATAAATTTCCCATAACTTTCATGGTACTCCTTGGCATTCTTGATAGAAAGCAACCTGTTGTCAGTCCATAAACTTCTGAATTTGCTCGTTTGAAACAGAAAGATGGAAAAATTCCCATTGCATTGTATGGAGCTGGGCAAATGGAGCTTTATTTAATCATTTAGATTGTGCTTTGCAGATCTTATAACTTTTTGAAACATTTCTAATGTTTGTAATGTGATCATCTTGGGATCTTAATGGAACAATATAATGGCACTATGGTACAGATAGGTACTTTTTCGAGATTGGTCCAATTAAACCTTCTTCAGCAGACAGCACAGGTACATTGTACCGTAATCCCAAAAGGATGACTGACCTAGAATCAAACAAAATGAACAATAACTAGATCAAGGTTAGAACAAAACCAATTTTCAAATCAGTATAGTAAAAAAAAACAAGCTAATAATGTGAAACAGTAATCTGCACTAACATTTTTATCTAGGTCATCTGTTAGATTATATGTTAAAATATGCTCAGAAACTTTCGTTCATTCTGTTCTCATAACAGTTAGTGTTGGGAGACTGGAACCTAAATGTACATTTTAATGCTGTTATTGATACTCCTAAAACAGCTTGGTTCTGGAGCACTGCAAAGATTGAGGACTGATAAGTACATTTACACAAGCACTTACAAATAGAAAGATCAAACCACTTCTGTTACACATATGGAAGAGGAGCAGGTTTGGAATGTTCTGAAAAAGGTACATAAAACCAAAAAATAAATGTAATAATACATTTTGATGCATATTTTCATATGTATATATATTCAGATCTCTCAGCATGTTAAATGGCCAAATGGAGATCATTTTTCTGTGAATTGTTAGGTGACCATGACATATTAATGCCCAATTTCTTAGATCAGTATGCCATTTGTAACAAGTCATTTGTTCACACTCAGTCCTAGTGTCGTTTATAGCAGTTTTAACACATTTTATTATGAGTTGATTGTTGGAGCTCTGTGATGCGCTTGTACAACTCAAACAGGTCCCAGAAAAGACAAGCTGCATGGTAAAAACAAAAGTCAGAGAGATATGCGCACCAAACCGCAAGAAGTGAGCATTGCCTGTCATTGTGCTGTGATTAGTTGGCTTCCATGCCAAACGAATACAGTGTTCGTACTGAGCGTTTAAAGTGAGGGAAGGCCTTTATAAAGGCTATTCCCACCTTGAATGCTCAGTCTGTGTGATAACATTAATGGGTTCACTAGGATCATTTTTTTTAATGGTGCGGTTTCCATTTTTTGCAGCTTTTTTTACAACTTGGGTCTATTTTATTGTAGACAGTTTTGTCGACATATGATGGTTTGTTTGGCTATTTTTTGCCAAAATTAGAAGATTGAAAAAAGAAGATCCATAATTAAGATTTAAATAGTAAGTATACTTTTTTGAAGATATAAAAGAAACCAAGGGGAAATGATTCCTCTTGGATATATAGGAAGGAAAAGTTATGGTCTAGAGAAAAGGGGGATATCCACTAAACAACTGGTAAAACAACCCACACCCTAGGTTGAATAAATAGACAATACAAGATAAAAAGCAAAGAGAAAACAATCTGATTGCTCAAACCAGGAGTGGATACCAACACCCAAAGAATACTATACAGTGGCGTACATACCAGGGTCGCCCGGCCGCCCCTGCAACCCGGTATGTAGCCACAGGGCCAGCCTCTTCCCCTGGGGTGCCCAGGAGCCGACCACTCCAGGGCCCCCAGAGGCTGGCCCTGCTGACCCCGGCGGGCAGGTGGCCGGTCGGGCAGGCGGGCGCGCGAGGGAGCACTCAGTGAGGGAGCTGAAGAAGAAGCACTGAGTGCTCCCTCGCGCGCCCGCCTGCCCGACCGGCCACCTGCCCGCCGGGGTCAGCAGCACCACTGGACCCCAGGGAATCCCCCCAGCGCTCCAAAAGGTAAGGAGGCTGGGGGGATTACATTTAAAAAAAAAAAAAAAGTGTGAGTGTGTATGAGTGTTAGAGTGTGTGTGAGTGTTAGTGTTAGTGTGTGTTAGTGTTAGAGAGTGAGTGTTAGTGTGTGTGTGTCTGCTAGTGAGTGTTAGTGTGTGTGAGTGTTAGAGTGTGTTAGAGTGAGTGTGTCTGCTAGTGAGTGTTAGAGTGAGTGAGTGTGTCTGCTAGTGAGTGTCAGTGAGTGTTACTGTGTGTGTCTTACTGAGTGTGTGTGTTAGTGAGTCTGTTTGATGTCTGTTAGTGAGTGTGTGTTGGTCAATGAGAGTGTATGTTTTGTAAGTGAGTGTGTATGTATGTCTGTCGCTGAGTGTGTCTCAGTAAATGTGTGTGTCTGTTAGCTAGTGTGTATGCGTCTGTAAGTGAGAGTGTGTGTGTCTTCAGCACTTACCTTTCTCCAGCGCCGGACTCCCCTGGCGCTGAGGATCCCTCAGCCTCTCAGCTCCGAATGCGACAGCGCACGCATTCAAACCGCCCATAGGAAAGCATTACTCAATGCTTTCCTATGGACGTTCAGTGTGCTCCTCTAGCGGCTGTCAGTGAGACAGCCACTAGAGGCTGGATTAACCCTCAGTGAAACATAGCAGTTTCTCTGAAACTGCTATGTTTTCAGCTGCAGGGTTAAAACTAGAGGGACCTGGCACCCAGACCACTTCATTGAGCTGATGTGATCTGGGTGTCTGTAGTGGTCCTTTAAGTGTGTGTGCATCTGCATGCGCTGGCGTACATACCGCGGTCGCAGGGGTCCCAGCCCTGTAACACCTGCGACCAGGTGCCCACCGCCCTGTGTTGCCCACGGATCAATTTTCGCACCGGGGCCCCATGGGTCATGTGTACGCCACAGATACTATATAAAAGAGGGAATAGAAAGGTAAACTGGTAACATACACAGTATCACTGCACAGTAAGCAAATAGAAACAGACCTAGGTCACAATTGAGTAAATGTATCTCAATAAATGAATATACATTGTATCAGTGCAAATAAAGATTGTCCACAGTCTTCGTTCAAGTAATAAACAGACATTGTAGTTTAGTGCTCAGTCCAGAAGATATCCTTTCAATGTAAGCTCATATATGTAAAATCTGTCTGGTATACTCTCTATATGAAAAGCAGGGAAACTGGCCAATATGAGCTAAATATGCCCTAGTAACAGACTAGTATAATAATCAATAATAGTATGGTACATTAAAAAAAAGGAATATTGCATATGTAGAAATGTGGGATAAACAGTTCTACATCTATTATCGATAATAAATCCTGGAACGTTATCTTCTAGTGTCAATCATTGAACTGTGCGATATATAGTTCAGAGGCAGAGAATTCTTCTTATAAAAATACTTTATTATACTACAAATATATGTGTATAAAATATAAAATAAAGACAAGCAATTGCTCACAGATAGCATAAAAAAGGGAACCTTCCTTTGGTGTCTTCCTCCCAGCAGTCTGGGTACTCTAGAAATGCTGTCTCATCAGAGCCAGCTTCAGAGGCAACTTCAGAGTCCTTGTTGACCAAAGCTCGTCGGGGAGATCCACTGCGTGCGTTCCACTTTGCTTCAGTATTCGTTCCACTGTGAGTGTGTGAAAAGATGCAGCCTTACGCGTTTTGTGACGTCCTGTCACTTCATCAGAGGAATGCATCTTTCGTGTGCCGATGGATTTATATACCCCTTTGGCAGTATTAACTATCCATAGGGTTAACCCTTTCATCACTTGATGACTATTAACCCATAAGTGACATGGCTAACATAACCTTGTAAAATCCATACATATAATTAATCTAAAACCACAGAATATACATATAATGGATATATTAAAACCATTGTAGTTTAAGACATAATGAAATAAAGATATAATCAAATAAAGGATAACGAAATAAAAACTGAAAAACAAATAATGGGTAATAAAACCACAATCATAAGTTAGTAGAATTACAATAAAATAATATAGTAGAATTAGCTCTGCATGAATAACAATAAATTAATAAATAACAGGGATATATATCACCCTATATGACCACATCTTAATGAAAAAAATCTCATATAAAATATAAATCTCATATAAAATATTAAAAAAAGACATCGTATAAAAGCTTAGAATAGAGCAAGACTCAATCTCTTTAGAAATGATAAAAAATGATAAAAAATTTAATTAAATTTATCCTTATATACTACTAAGAAGATCGAATATGTAAAAGCAAATACCTCCTCATTTTTATGGGAAGAGCATAGTATCTATGAATCACCCCTTAGTTAAAGTGCTACTAAATGGTGTACCATCACCACTTCAAAAATTCAGAAAAAATTCAAAAAAAAAACCAAACTAGATACCTTTGGTGACATAGAATCTAACATCGTGTTCAAAACATGGAGACAGAAGAAGATATGCTTTAGTCAATATATAAAAGAGAAGATGATTAGACTTATAGAATAAAAAATATGTAATAAAAGATATTCAGAATGAAACATAAAGAAATAATGTAGCTATTCTCATTCTTGGGAGTTTATAAAAAAGCATTAAATTCAAAGTCAAGATTTAGACCCTTAGGTTCTAAAGTATCCAACTGGAAGATCCATTTGGCTTCTGCTCTATCTAGACCTTTTTCAAAATCACCTCCTCTCCAGTGTAAAGAGACCTACTCTATGGCCATAAATTGTAATTCTCCTGGATCGCTTGAGTGTGTGATATGGAAATGTTTAGAGAGGTTATGTGTTGGGAGGCTCTTCTTGATATTTCAAATATGTTCAGCTATCCTGATTTTAAATACTTTCTTTGTCCTGCCAATGTAATATTTACCGCAGTGACATATCAACAAATATATCACTCCACTTGAATTGCAGTTTAGATTTCCTTTACTCTTAAAAGTCTCATTAGTTATTGGATGTTTAAATTGATTAATAAGGGGTACTTGTGTTATGATGTTTTTGCATCCCATACATTTCCCACATTTGTGGAATCCCATTGAAATTGGACCGGACTGTTTCTTCTTCTCTTCTTTCAATGTTGGGGCTATCATTATTTTTAAATTAGGTGCCCTGGAGTATATGATCTTTGGTTTACTTCCCAGGATCTGGTCTAATAGAGGGTCACCTTTGAGTATATTCCAGTGTTTATTGAGGATCTTGTTCAATTTAAAGGACTGGTTGCTATACTGAGTAATGAATGCTGGAATCTCCATATTCTGTTGTGGTTCTTTGTATTTCTTCATTAGTGTATCTTCTCTTGGTGTTTCAATTGCTCTCTTGAGAGCACCCTCTACTAAATCTACTAAATATCCTTTGTTTAAGAATTGTTTCTTCATATCTTTCATTTGTAATTCACACACTTCCATTTCTGAACAGTTCCACCTAATTCTTCTGAATTGACTGTATGGAATGTTATTCAGCCATGTCTTCTTATGATAACTATTGAAGGGTATAAAAGTGTTACAGTCCATTGTTTTTTTAAAAGTTTTTGTGTTAATGATGTCATCTTTAATGTAAATTTCTAAGTCCAGAAATTCTACTGCTTCTTTCGAGTGTTGAAAGGTGAATTTCAAATGATATGGATTAAAATTCAGATACTTCTAAAGCCATCAGATCACCTTTCCAAATAAAAATGCAATCATCTATATACCTCTGCCATAGGACCAGGTTTGCCACCGCAGGGGAGTTATTCCAAATGAATCCATCTTCCCATTTACCCATGAAAAGATTCGCATAGCTCGGTGCAAACCTGATACCCATGGTATTCCCTTCTATTTGCAGAGAATTGGTTAACCTTTTGTGAATCTTTGGTAGGTGATAAAATACTGCTAGTTTAGGGTGTTTGCATAGAATGTGGTCTGATTCCCTTTTTGATAGTATTCCACGCTCTTTGCCCATATTCACTAATTCCACAAGTTCGTCCGTAAATGATTGACTTGGATTCTGCTTTAGTTTCAGATACGTGTCTGTATCACTCAGGAGTCTTCGATTTTCATTTTCATAGTCTTGACTATTCATGATTACTACTCCCCCCCACCCCTTTGTCTGCTGTCTTTATGGTAATTTTATTATCTTGCATCAATACTTTCAAAGCTTTTCTCTCCTTCTTTGTGAGATTGTCCTTAGGATCCGTATAGTTTTTCATGGCTCTTAGATCTTTATCAATCATCCTTTCAAAAACTCTGATGTTCTCACTTTTCATTTGTTGTGGGTAGAATTTTGATTTAGGGTGGAGGTTGGTATGTACATAGCCATCCTCCATTCTTTCCTTAGTATATTTATTTTCCAAAAAGAAATGTTTTACAGTAAGCTTTCTGATGAACTTGTGCAAATCAATAAATATGTTGAATTTTAAATTCTGTGAATTGGGAACAAATTTCAGTCCCTTTTTAAGGAGTGATATCTCATCTACAGTTAATTCGTGATCTGATAGATTAAAAAGGCTAGTGACTTCTTCAGTTTCTAGTTCATTTACTCTTTTTTTAGTTCTTCTTTTTCTTCTCTTCTTGGTCTTTTATATATATATCCCTGTTATTTATTAATTTATTGTTATTCATGCAGAGCTAATTCTACTATATTATTTTATTGTAATTCTACTAATTTATGATTGTGGTTTTATTACCCATTATTTTTTTTCAGTTTTTATTTCTTTATCCTTTATTTGATTATATCTTTATTTCATTATGTCTTAAACCATAATGGTTTTTAATATATCCATTATATGTATATTCTGTGGTTTTAGATTAATTATATGTATGGATTTTACAAGGTTATGTTACCTATGTCACTTAAGGGTTAATAGTCATCAAGTGATGAAAGGGTTAACCCTATGGATAGTTAATACTGCCGAAGGGGTATATAAATCCATCGGCACACGAAAGATACATTCCTCTGATGAAGTGACAGGACGTCACGAAACGCGTAAGGCTGCATCTTTTCACACACTCACAGTGGAACGCATACCGAAGCACAGTGGAACGCACGCGGTGGATCTCCCCGACGAGTTTTTGTCAACAAGGACTCTGAAGTTGCCTCTGAAGCCGGCTCTGATGAGACAGCATTTCTAGAGTACCCAGACTGCTGGGAGGAAGACACCAAAGGAAGGTTCCCTTTTTTATGCTATCTGTGAGCAATTGCTTATCTTTATTTTATATTTTATACACGTATATTTTTAGTATAATAAAGTCTTTTTATAAGAAGAATTCTCTGCCTCTGAACTATATATCGCACAGTTCAATGATTGACACTAGAAGATAACGTTCCAGGATTTATTATCGATAATAGATGTAGAACTGTTTATCCCACATTTCTACATATGCAATATTCCTTTTTTTTTATGTACCATACTATTATTGATTATTATACTAGTCTGTTACTAGGGCATATTTAGCTCATATTGGCCAGTTTCCCTGCTTTTCATATAGAGGGTATACCAGACAGATTTTACATATATGAGCTTACATTGAAAGGATATCTTCTGGACTGAGCACTAAACTACAATGTCTGTTTATTACTTGAACTAAGACTGTGGACAATCTGTATTTGCACTGATACAGTGTATATTCATTTATTGAGATACATTTACTCAATTGTGACCTAGGTCTGTTTTTATTTGCTTATTGTGCAGTGATACTGTGTATGTTACAAGTTTACCTTTCTATTCACTCTTTTATATATATTTAGTATTCTTTGGGTGTTGGTATCCACTCCTGGTTTGATACTTTTTTGAAGGATTATTTGTATTTTTGAGTATTTGACGCCCTCGTAACTTATATGAAGGTGGTAGGTAAAGACATATGTTGTGGGTATAGAGGCGCATTTATGGGAGACTAGAGATCTCCAGCATCCTCATATTGGAGCACATTTTGGGACACAGGAGACTTTTGAGGCACAGAAAGGGTTAATTATAACTTTGTGCTGTTGTAGTTGCTATGGTAATTTATTGTTCTATGCATTTCACGATAATCTAATATTTGGTGATCAGTTCCAATTAGAGGTTAAATGTAGGGGTTAAGGTTGGAAACTTGTCGATAATTTACAGCCGTTAAAATCTACTAGCCAATTTTAATAATAACAGCTTAAGGCAGATATAAACGACAAGGTTGAAAAGGAGCCGTTAGCTGGCTACAGTGACAGATTGCACTTCCCAAGAATGCAATCCCACCACTCTAGGAGGATGGATGGCGCATTAACTGATTGCTGCTAATGAGCTTGGTCTGTATGCTTAATCCTGCTTAATTCTGTTTAATGAAAATAGTTTTATTAGTGCAGTCTAAAAAAATATCCCTCTTACCTGTAGGTTACTGAAACGCTGACTTCAGTGCAAAATTTAGAGTATAATGTGAAGCCTCCTGAGCCCCTAAATGTACATCAATACGAGGACCCAAGAGATGACCACAAGTCTCCTGAGCCCATAAATGTACATTAATATGAGGACCCAAAAGATGACCACAAGTCTCCTGAGCCCATAAATGTTCATTAATATGCGGACCCAAAAGATGACTACGAGTCTCCTGGGCCCATAAATGCGCCCCTTGTGCCAGCCAAAGTTAAACAGGGTTATTCACAAAACTCCCTATTTCGGCAGATTAAATCCCAATGGTAAAACTGAGACTAAACAACATGTTGTGCCTATAGTGGAGATGGAGAATTTTTGTTCTGTTTATTAAATATATATATAAATTGACCAATCCTTGGTGGTCCAAACAATAAAAGAAGAAAAATAGATATAATGCACAAAGAAAGTAGTATGTTTGATTATAATATCAAACTGTGTGAGGTCTTAATCACAAGTTAAAAACTTTACAAAAAATATCTCACATAAATGGCGCCCAAAACAGTTTATATGGGCTATTCCATCATGTTTCGTTATTCTATATTCTTTCCTCCAGGGACTCCCAAATATAAAAAGAGCTGACAGGCAGTAGTGTGATATGTTTAATTGTACAGTGATCCAACTACAATTATAACATATGCTTGTTATTAACTAGGAAACAGCCAATATCAAACCACAATCAATAGTGTAAGACAAGTGCAAAGGTTGTTTAGGGTAGCTTAGAAAATCCAATGTGTTTATTGTATGATTAAAGGGACACTATAGTTACCAAGAAAACTTTAGCTTAATGAAGCAGTTTTGGTGTATATACTATGCCCCTGCAACCTCACTGCTCACTTATCTGCAATTTAAGAGTTAAATCACTTTGTTTATGTAGCCCTAGTGACTTACACAGCCTTCCTAAACATTTCCTGAAAAGAGTCATCTAATATTTACATTTCCTGTATTTGTTTAATTTAGAATTTCTTATCTCTGACTCTGTTATTGGAATTCTAGAACCCACAGGAGCCTACTGTGTGTAATTCAAGTTTAATTTACAGAGCAGGAGTTAAAACTTTTAAAGTAAGTTACATCTAATTGAAATTGAAACAATTTGGCTAGGGCTACACAAACAGAAACAAAAGTGATTTAACTCCTAAATGGCAAAAAAAAAAAAAAAAAGCAGTGAGACTTTGGATGCATGATCTATACACAAAAACTGCTTCATTAAGCAAAATATGTTTTGGTGACTATAGTGTCAGTTTAACTTGCTGTCACTTACTTGCATTGGAAGTGGAGCGAAATTATAATGATAACACACTCACTGCTTGGAAAGGCTAGATAAAATTTCACCACCATCACATTTTACCATTCAAGGTAAAAACCTATACATGTGAGTTTAATTAGAATTGTGTATTATAATATTGCTTCCCAATATGAAAAATCCTAAAAGATTGGAGGAATATGTCCACCTAAGCTCTTTAACATGTGAGTAAACATTTTCCGATGTATTGGATCTATTTTTTGTTAGTCACTAATGGAGTAGATATAAAAGTATAGGAGACTGCCATCTGAGACATAGTATGGATAATATAAAGAGAGAGAAAAAGAAATACAAAAGACTCGAGGACTGAAAAGAATCCAGTATAACTCTTCTTCCGTATGCATATCAAACATAACTTTCATATAATCTGTTTATCTCTCAGTCTTTATATCATATTTTTCCTTTTAGAATTTTACCTACAAACATTATGGTGCATTGCATATCTGTCCTAAACTTAATGGTTGAAGGACAGCTTATAAAATCTGCAGTCATGTGTTAACTATTTTGTTTCTCTAGCTAAACGGTATCTAATCATTGCATGTTCTAAATGTGTATCTATAAGCAAACCTCATTTCTAAAAGTAATTTACATGGTATAGAAAATGCTGATATTATTGATACACAGTACAGATACATGCAGATGACATCAAATAAATAACTGCTCTAGTTGCTACCTGTAGAGGGCAGAAGTACCACCTACGGGAGGTTTGTTTTACTCTCCTTTGTCAGGCAATTCTTTGGCACAATGTCTATGCCAAAGAATTGACTGACAGGTGGGATAAAGACCTTTTTAAAATATACTTATTTCCTAATCTGTGCATTTGCTGTTGACTCTGCTAACACAATGCGCAGATGGAATTGCATGATCTTTTAAAAGAGCACAAGCTGTAGGTACCGTGCCAGTTACCCTATAAAACATGCTGTATGGGGGCATGCACTCTCTACACTCCAGTCTGTACATCAGAAGATAATCCCCTCTGCCAGCTTTGGCATTTACAGCATAAGCTTCTTAGTGCTGGGGGATATTGAGAGATAGGAGAGGACTGGACTGTGAATCACATCTTAGAATGAGGAATCAAATTAAACATGGTCTGAGCAGACCGCAGACAACACATTTTTATCTGCTATCAGTTTTTCTTGGTACTTACATTTTGTGATGAAATGTGGGATTGAAGTAGTAAACAATGAATGGCCAGAATGTATTATGACATTTTGGGGATATTTTATTTTTATTGTTAAAAATATACAGTATCTCACAAAAGTGAGTACACCCCTCACATTTTTGTAAATATTTTATTATGTCTTTTCATGTGACAACACTGAAGAAATGACACTCTGCTACAATGTAAAGTAGTAAGTGTACAGTCTGTATAACAGTGTAAATTGGCTGTCCCCTCAAAATAACTCAACACACAGCCATTAATGTCTGAACCGTTGGCAACAAAAGTGAGTACACCCCTAGGTGGAAATGTCCAAATTGGGCCCAAAGTGTCAATATTTTCTGTGGGCACCCTTATTTTCCAGCATTGCCTTAACCCTTATAGGCATGAAGTTCATCAGAGCTTCACAGGTTGCCACTGGAGTCCTCTTACACTCCTCCATGACAACATCACGTAGCTGGTGGATGTTAGAGACCATGCGCTCCCCCAACTACTGTTTGAAGATGCCCCACAAATGCTCAATAAGGTTTAGGTCTGGAGACATGCTTGGCCAGTCCATCACCTTTACCTCTAGCTTCTTTAGCAAGGCAGTGGTAGTCTTGGAGGTGTGTTCGAGGTTGTTATCATGTTGGAATGCTGCCCTGCGGCCCAGTCTCCTAAGTGAGGGGATCATGTACTGCTTCAGTATGTCACAGTATATGTTGGCATTCATGGCTCCCTCAATGAACTGTAAATGTAACAGTGCCAGCAGAACTCATGTTGTGAGGAACTGACTCTACTGGGTTTCGAACCCTGGTTTACATGGTGCTAAACCTCTTCCTTACCAGTACACCAGCCTACCTTTTGCAAATTTACCTGAGATCTGATACTATTGCTTGTAGAGTCAAGGTTATCAGTGACAACTCTCTTCAGCTGTGTCTGGTCAGGTGTCTGGTTCTTGGCCTATAAAAGCCACTTCCTGTCTCTGTACCTTTGCCAGATTATTGTGGTTCCTGTACTCTCTAATCAAGCGTGTTCCTGTTTCTCCTTCCTGTTGCTGAATTTGGACTGTTTTGACTTTGCTGCTTCTCCTTCCCACTGACCTTGGCTTGCCTCACTACGATTATCATCTTTCTGTTCCAGTCTCCCATCTCTGCTTAAGACCAGAAGGCCACTCAAGGCTCAGGGGCTCAACCACCTGGGTAACGAGTGGCTACCTCTGGCAGAAAACATTGCTGATCTGGCTACTGGACTCCAAAACTTTGTAACATCAATATCATTACAGAATAATCTGGCACATTCATGGAGACCGTCGGATCAGATTCTGCATTGGCCCAGCAGGTTGCTTTTAATGCAAGAACTATGCAGACCCAGGCACAGACCATTCAAGTGCTGCAGGATCAGGTAGCTGAACTGCAAAATGAAGTTCGATCAATGCATAGTGAGCTTACCAGCTACAGGGCACATGATGTTGTGGCTGCTGCTACTACTACTGTTACACCTGCACAAGATGCCCGCTTGCCTCTACCAGAAAAATTTGGAGGAGACCGCAAAAAATGTAGGGGTTTCCTAAATCAATGCCGTTTGCATTTCATGATGTTACCTAACCGTTTTCCATCTGAAAGAGAGAAGGTGGGATTTATTTTCTCCCTCTTCAAAGATGAAGCCCTGGCCTGGGGCTGCCCTTTTCTGGAACAGGACAGTCCAGTGTTGGGAAATTTAAAAGACTTTCTTGAGGCCATGTGCCTAGTTTTTGATGACCCCAATCGCTGTGCTACAGCAGAAGCCACTCTCCTTCATTTACATCAAGGGAGGCGCTCTGTGGCTGAATATGCTGCTGAATTCAGACAGTGGGTTACTCATACTACTTGGAACCAATCAGCCCAGAGGTTCCACTTCAGAAGGGGTCTCTCAGAAGCTATAAAAGATGAGCTAGCTCGTGTTGATCTTCCTGTTGAGTTTGATGCATTTGTGCGGTTGGCTATCCGTATTGATCGGAGACTTTCAGAAAGAAGATTGGAAAGACAGGGCTCTTTTAAACCAAGTGCTACTCCTACTTTCTATTCAAGAATTTCTACTCCGACCCCACAAACACCTACAGACTCTGAACCTGAGGCTATGCAGGTAGATCTAATAAGAGGGCCATTATCCAATGAAGAAAAACAGTGGCGACGCACTCACAATTTATGCCTGTATTGTGGTAGTGTAGGGCATTATGCCATCAATTGCCCTAGCAAGTCTAAAAGAACAATAGCTATGACTGCTGAGGGTGCACAGATTCAACACCAATCCCAGATTTCAGACCAACTGGATTCTGTCACACAACCCTTGTTTTCTCTGGCTCAGGGTGAGGAGGGTATGATGACTCAACATCCTCATTTGGTGGTGCCTATCACTTTGCAATATGGTGATAATAAAATTTCAACTACAGCTATGATAGATTCTGGAGCAGGCGGAAACTTTATGGACATTAAATTTGCAGCAGGAAATAAAATTCAGTCTATCCCTAAATCTTTACCTGTGTTAATGGAAACAGTAGACGGTTCTCCACTTATGTCAGGCCCGGTTACACATGAGACTGTGCCCTTAAAATTGATTCTGGAAGTGAATCACCATGAGTCTATATCTTTCCACCTAATTTCCTCAACACAGTTTCCAGTGATTTTGGGTATACCCTGGCTTGCTCTGCATAACCCACAGATTGATTGGAAGACTAGAACTTTGTACTTTCCTTCAGAACACTGCTTAATGAATTGTCAACCCTCTAAGGCAACACCTGTTACCACAACAATTAATGAAATGGTTGCTACAAACTTAACTAAGCTTCCTCTACAATATCGGGATTTTGCAGATGTCTGTGATAAGAAGAATGCTGATCAGCTTCCACCTCACAGGCCTTATGATTGTCCCATAGAGCTGCTACCTGGAGCTGCTATCCCATTTGGCCGTATATACTCCCTTTCTGAGCCTGAATTGAAAGCACTTCGTGCATACATACAAGAAAATCTTGCCAAAGGCTTTATTCGACCATCTACTTCTCCAGCAGGAGCTCCTATATTCTTTGTAGAAAAGAAAGATGGCAGTCTACGGCCATGTGTCGATTACAGGGACATTAATAAGATCACTGTTAAAAAACGCTATTCCTTGCCTCTCATTCCTGAACTTCTGGAGAGACTTCGTTCAGCTAAAATATTTACGAAGCTTGATCTACGGGGGGCATATAATCTGGTTCACATAAGACCAAATGATGAATGGAAAACAGCTTTCAGAACCAGGTACGGACATTACGAATATCTAGTAATGCCATTTGGGCTTTGTAATGCCCCTGCAACTTTTCAGCATCTAATCAATGATGTACTACGGGATCTCCTGGATCAGTTTGTTGTGGCATATTTGGATGATATCCTGATATTTTCTGATAATCTTGAAAATCACAGAAAACAGGTCTGCATTGTTCTTGAGCGCCTTCGTACCCACCACCTATACATTAAACTGGAAAAATGTGAGTTTGAACAAACAGAAATTCAGTTCCTGGGGTATGTAATAACTCCTAAAGGTTTAAGTATGGACGCAAGTAAAATTAAAGCTGTGCTGGACTGGCCCATCCCCAAGAATGAAAAAGATATTCAGAGATTTGTGGGGTTTGCCAATTTTTACAGGTGTTTCATTAAGAATTTCTCTGCCGTTATTACACCGATCACTGAACTTACACGTAAAGGGACTCCTTTTCAGTGGTCCAATAAGGCTGACACTGCATTTTCCAGATTAAAGACTCTGTTTACATCTGCCCCTATCTTGGTACATCCTCAGCCAGAATTGCCATTTACTATAGAGGTAGATGCTTCTGATTCAGCTGTTGGGGCTATACTGTCTCAAAGGACTGGACCTAAGATGTTGTTACATCCATGTGCCTTCTATTCCCGCCAGATGTTACCAGCAGAAAGAAATTATGACATAGGGAATAAAGAACTTTTGGCTATAAAAGCTGCCTTTGCCGAATGGAGACATCTATTGGAGGGAGCCACCCATCCAATTACTGTCCTCACAGATCACAAAAATCTGGAATGTATTCAATCCGCTAAGAGAATGTCAGCCAGACAAGCACGCTGGTCCCTATTTTTCTCAAGGTTTAATTTTTTTATTTCATACCGCCCTGGTTCCAGAAATGGCAAGGCGGATGCCTTGTCTAGGATAGCTGACCCCCTCCATACTACAGTAACCAAGGCCACCATCTTACCGGAGAGTAGATTTTTAGGAGTTACCTTTCCTTCTGACCTAATGTCTCGCATTAAAAAGGGCTACTCTAAAGATCCAGTTTTTCGTGATCCTCCTCGTGATCTTCATATGACCATGCTTAATGGGTTTTGGATTTTTCAACAACATCTGTTTGTTCCAGAATCAGTGCGACTGGACGTTTTATGCCTCTACCATGACTCAAAACCAGCAGGTCATCCAGGAATCCGAAAGACACAAGAAATACTTACCCGATCCTTTTGGTGGCCTAAATATTATGAGGATGTTAAGAAGTATGTGTCCTCTTGTGATGTATGTGTCAGACATAAGACTCCTCGCTCATCCCCTGTTGGCTTGCTTCAGCCTCTTCCGATTCCTCATCATCCCTGGGGATCTATATCCATGGACTTTATTGTGGAACTACCTCCCTCTAAGGAACACACTAACATTCTTGTTCTTGTTGTGAGCCTAGAATATTGCACCTTTTCACAATATTCTAATTTACTGAGATTGTGGATTTGGGGTTTCCATGAGCTGTAAGCCATAATCATCGCACTTATTACAAATCACAGTTTGAACTATCTTGCTTTGCATGTAATGCGTCTATCTCATATATTAGTTTCCCCTTTTACGTTGCATTACTGAAATAAATGAACTTTTCCACGATATTCAAATTTTCTGAGTATCACCTGCACTACTTTACATTGTAGCAGATTGTCATTTCTTCAGTGTTGTCACAGGAAAAGATATAATAAAATATTTACAAAAATGTGAGGGGTGTACTCACTTTTGTGAGATACTGTACATGACACTAAGATATACCAAAGAACATCATGTGAAAAACATGATAATAGAAATCCAAAATGAATCGCGATTTTCCCATTGCAGGGTCTTCACTCGTTTTGTTGTCTCTACAGTGTTTGATAATTTCTAATATATGGATAGAAATGTCAAACAATACCCCTTAAGTTGTACTTTGGGAAAATACATTGGGAATCCAAACATATGAATTATTTTTTTTATTCCCACATTTGTGTAAAGTTTGCAGATATCCCGAGGTGAGGATATCGATTTGTAATGACTGCAAAGATTTTGTTGACTTCTCACCAAGGAGAGCATGATGATACAAGAGGCTGCAGTATCAGAGAATCACTGCCTGCGGGACTGGCTGATCTGTGCAGGTGTTGCAAAGTTGTTCACAGCATGATGAGACAGTTATGTGAGAGTAATATGTTTAGACAGAAGCATAAAAGTAAAAAGTAGTTTGCGATTAAACCTGCATAGTGTTGTGCATCTGGAAAAGCAAAATAAGTTGCACACTGCACAGTGAGGAATTTTTATAGGTTTTGTACATATGTGTTCTTTCACCCCGATACAGTTATTATTATTGGCATTGATTTAGGGCCACTTTATTACGCAGTGCTTTACAGTATTATAAAGGGGGGATTTAACAACAGATGAGATAAGCTATCATATATTTTGACAGGAACAAGAAGTTGATAAAGATCCAGTTTACAATTTAGAGTTAAATACCTATTTTTTTTTTTTATTATGGCATATATGTAGGCTGGTGAGATAGCTCAGTGGGCTAATGCATCATCAGTAGAGTCATTAGTAGAGTCTGTTCAACTCTTGAGGTCACACGTTCACATCCTAGCAGGGTTGACTCAGCACTTCATTAATAAATTGGGTAATAGTAGCAACCGCTGGATGTTGGGCTAAGGTAACATCCCCAGGACGTACTTGAAAACCAGAATAATCTGAATGTGCCTTTCCTGGTTAAATACCTTGTTATTATTATTGTTTGCGATTTATCTGTATTCTGTTCTAAAAAGTGGTCCAAAATGTAAAAGAAGAGGAGTCGCCAATAGAATATGTCTGCTGTTTCCATGGTGATTGCACCACTTGTGGTATTTTAGATGGCTTTTTAGAACAGAACACGTTGTTAACTTCCTTTAGTCATCACTTCCAAATTCCCCCTGCTTCTTCTTGTCTCAATTCCCATTATATCCTTTAGATTGTAAGCTCACGGGCTATCTAAGCACATTGTATAAAAGAGCTTTAATAGTTAAAGCTCAGCTTATGGGCATGGCCCTCTCCATCTTTTGTATTGGTTTGTGCATATTGTATGCTCTCTCCTAATTGTACAGCGCTGCAGAATATGTTGACGCTTTATAAATGCCAGCAATAAATATATAAAATAAATAATAGATATTATTGAGCCCCTATTTCCAATGCAAATATAAATGTGTAGGCATTACTTCCCACAGAACATTGGCATGCACCTTAGTACGTCTGGCGCTACCACAATGCAGGGATCAAGTTAAAGCAGCACAAATTTTTTTTTCTATATTTCTTTCTGTTTTTCTTTCCTTTTGCCCCTTGTCTCTTCTATTTATACTTAACATCTTTTCTGCACCAGATCTCAATACCAGGGCACCTCTAGTTTGTTCTCCTCTGTACGTGATGATTTCATTTTGCCATTCTGTGGGATTCTTATAACTGATGGAATGTGTGCAAATTTGCTTAGCAACTGAAATAGAACTTTGCTAGCGCTCCAAAAAAAACCTGCAACATAACAGTATTGCTTTAAGATCCGACCTACTGTCATGATCGCGTTTGAAATAGCTCAGTATCTTGGTAGTATAAAATATTTGTATTATTTATCTTGTAAGTTATGTTTAATGATAGAGCCTAAATGTTTCTGTATTTAAATACATTTTTGTATTATAAGATAAAATGTAGATGAGCTAAGCATTTGCTTGTTTGGTAAATGGAACTGAACTTTGTGACAGCTAAAATGTCTCCTTTTATTAGAAATTAGAATCCCTATAGCCCACTTTGATGAAAGGTACTGATGAAATGACTGATGGCTGGGGTCAGTGTGATAAGCCATCATTTCATTCACATATAGATAGGACCTTACAGAGCTTTTGTGCTGAGTGACATAAAGTAACCTAGTCCTTACGTGCCTGGTGTAGCAAAAACAAGGTGGGACATATTTTTCAAACATTATGTGTTGTGCAACAAATAAAAAAAGAAATGATTGATCCACTTCATGTTGGGAATTAATAAAATGAATGAACTGATAGATGTGATGAGACCCAGTCTGTTCCCAGAGAGAAAGTTCTATATAAAACAATACATTTTGTTAATTTTAGGTGTTGTCTATATGACTGCACTTCCGTTTTTTGTTTTCCTTGAACCTTTCTCACATATGGACAATGTAGAATTGTCCTCTTTTAGAAAAAGACATGGTACTTTATAAAATGCATATCATCTAAATGTTATGTTCTGAGCTAACCAAGTAGAAGAACAACAGAGGGTGTTTGTGTAATCCCCCCGCATGCATTGTGCTCTGGCATTGAAGGATCAATACCAGGATGTCCGATGACAGGAGACTAGAGTGTCAGTCTTCTTAACTGAAACTAGGTTATTCTCTTAAAAGGTCTTTAAACCTGAAACTAGCTATGTTACAGGAAGGAAATGCGAGGAATCAGACTGTAGGGCAACAATTCTGTATTTATTTATTTATTGGCTCCTGTGAATTCTTTTGAATCCTCGGATTTATGTGGACCTGGGCTATCATTGTGTAAAGTGACTTAGCATATACTTGTAAATGTCAAAATTACTTTAATCGTATAAGATTATAAATATTGAGCTCGATGGACTTTTGTTTTTTTCCAACTTAGATTACTATGTAATTAAATTATGTAATTTCATTCACTATTGAAATAAAATTAACAAGCATTAAAAAAATTCCTTCAAAATATCCCAATATACCCATGGTCTCCCAAACCTGCTCCACCCATTATTATAGTGTCAGAACTGTGCATATCCTTTAATCTTCTGTGCAGGCTAGCTGAAAGCTGTACCGTGCAAGTACTTTCATTCCTAAAAAAGTAAACAAAACTACTACTAGCTAAAAGCAGTTGCCTCTTATAGAGAGCTGTATGGTGACCTGTACAAGGTGTGTGGCTTGTGCTTATACGTGGGCCTTTAAATGAGTTCTTATCTTACTAGCACGTCATGGTGCAATCCATACTTGCATTCATATGTAATTAAGAATATTGTTCCTGGGGGCGTGGCCTGGACGGGAACGCGAGCGGTCGCATGTTCTAACAGCTCCGCGGCAGTACAGGCCCTCACACGTTAATTAGACCCAAACCGGACAAAATCAACGGGCACCAGGCGCTACCGACCATGTCCCACGCCAAGGCAAAGCGGGCGACCGAGAAACAGGACAAACTCCTGTTTTTCAACGCCAAACAAGGGCACACGCGGGGAGCGGCAACACAGGAAGACCTCCAAGATGGCGCCGAAACAGACGGAGCCCAAGGAATGCTTACAGAGGCCTCGGGCCGCGTCCTCACCACGGAGGGGATGCAGGCTATGCTCGACGATATGGAGGCGAAACTGCAAACAACACTGCAACGCTCATTCACAGACCTCCGTGCAGACATCCACAAATTGGGGTCACGCACCTCAGATCTGGAGAATCAGATGGAGGCGCAATCGGAGGCTCACAACCGCCTAGCTAATAAGGTGGAGGAAGTATGGGACAGGATGCAAGAATATGAGGCCAAAATTGCGGACTTGGAGGACCGCGCACGCCGCAGTAACCTGAGACTGCGGAACGTGCCTGAAGACATAGGCCCGCAAGAGCTGCAGGCGTACGCAACGGGGCTTTTCCACACACTTGTCCCTGATCTGCCACAGAGTGTCCTGCTGTTGGATCGCATCCACAGAGTGGCAAAGCCCCAATACCTACCTGCTGATACGCCAAGAGATATCGTCTTGAAGATGCATTACTACCATGCGAAGGAGGCGGTCCTGAGAGCGAGCCGCACACGAAAAGACATACCTACTGAATTCCAAAAGGTGGGAATCTTCGCGGACATCTCTGCTATGACGCTGAGGAAGAGAAAGACTTTTGGCGCTATCACAGCGGCTCTGCGAGACAGCAACATCGCATACAGGTGGGGATATCCGACCAAGTTGCTGGTCCAACGCAACGGCACCCTTACAGCCATCACATCCCCAGAGGAAGGTCTCCTGAAGCTGAGAGAATGGGGCATCACCCCGCGCCCAGAACCCCAGAGGCCTGCAGCGCACGAGCGACACACCTCCACATGGAAGCGGGTGCGAAAATAGCCCTGGACGGGGAACAAATACGAACTTTTCAAGTCGCCCGCAAGTATACAGTATGCTGCATCACGCAATGCAAAATAGCCATGTTATGTTATGTATATTGTTTGATTTTGGTATGATTTAATGTTAGACTATCCAAGCCAGACTAGGGGTATGATAACCAGGGAGCAATTGAGGTCAGATAGCCAGACAAAGTTATAACCAGATATTTAAGGGTCATGTGTAGACCTAAGCTAAGTCCGCACAGAGTTAGGGATAACCTCTCCCAACGGTGTTAATGCCAAGTTTAAAAAAAAAAAAAATAAAAAAAAAATATATCAAGTATAACAATGCAATAATACCACACCCCCAATAAAATAAAAAAAATAAAAATAAAAAAAAGTCTTACCAAGCCCCAAAGACCAAATACGCCTAATAATGTAGAGCGATGGCTCACTAAAGAGTGTTAGCTAATAAGAAGACGGCATAACAGTGCAAATTGGGTCAATCACCATGTTAAAAGAAACAAGAGGGCCGCACTCGCGGCAGCACACCCCCCCCACGCAGGATCGAAGCATTACGCTCCGACCCCCATGGCTCCCTAAATGGGAACCTTGCCATTATTCTGGCATTTTTGTTTATGATTGTATATAGGTTTGCATTTTATGTAATATTGAGTTCTGTTCTTGTTATGTTTCCCTCCCTTAGCCCCCCTACAACCAATTCGGGCCAAGTGGGTGGCCCGCACGTATTACCTACCATCTACACTGTAGCACCACGAGCGCCTCTCCACCGGATACAAAGCACCGAACAGACATACCTATCGAATACCCGCAGGGGTTATCTTAGTGGGATCTGCCCAGCTCGCCGTATAGACCAATACATATCAAACTCTCACAATACCTTCCCATACAAACCACCTTAAGTTTTACAGCCACAATGTAAGGGGACTCAATCTCCCGGTCCAACGACACCTTCTTAGCAGGGATGTAGGTAAAGCTGATGCGGACATCGTGTGTTTACAGGAAACACATTTCAGGGGCACGTCCCATCCCAGCATCCTGACCAACTCCTACCCTCACCAGTTCCACTCTACGTCCACGACCAAATCTAAGGGAGTCACCACCCTGCTCAGTAAAAAAGTCGCTTTCACTCTGATCACTGAGGACACCGACCCAGAAGGCAGATACGTTATAATAGTGGGACACATAAATAATATACTATATACCATAGTGAATATATATGCCCCAAACACCAACCAGAGGAATTTCATACACAGAATGATACACAAAATCTCTCACATCCAACAAGGCACTACAATTATATGTGGGGACCTGAACCATGTCCTAAACCCAGCTGTAGACACTACTCTCTCCCGAACCAGCCCGCGATATAAATCACTTAAGCGCCAAAGCGCGGCCCTGACCAAATTACTGTCAATGCATCACTACTATGATGCATGGAGAGTCACGCACACAGAAGACAAAGAGTACACCCACCACTCGCAGGTTCATAATACATACTCGAGAATCGACGCGATCCTAGTGGAGGGAACCACACTAGGGCAGGTAGTGGACTGTCGGGTGGGACAGATAGTGTGGTCTGACCATGCCCCTATAGAACTAATCTTGAGGGACACTTATGACTTCAAACATAGGAGCCCCTGGCGGCTTAACGAGACCCTCCTGACAGACAAAACCTTCTCGGGAACGCTAGCAGAGTCCCTACAAACCTATTTTACAGACAATGCCAACCCCGACTTACAACACCACACAATTTGGCAAGCACATAAGGCAGTTGCCCGTGGACTCCTTATAAAACAAGCATCATACATCAAAAGGAAGACACAGACACAAGTGACGAAGTGGCAAAAAGACATTTACACACTGACGATACAAAATCAACTCCACCCCACACAACAGCTAAAAGAACAAATAGCCCTAGTGCGCCATCAACTTCGCCAACATGCGCTAACTAAGGTAGGACACAACTTATGGAAATTGAAAGCCTCACACTACGCCCAGGGGAATAGAGCGAGTAAACTACTGGCAGCAAGGTTAAAAAAGCGGCAACAGTCACAGAAAATAGCGTACCTACACACGAAAGCAGGGGGGAAAGCTATGTCGCCGCTCACTATTAGCGATGAGTTCGCACAATACTATGGGGACCTGTACAATCTTAGCAACGATGCAACCATACCCACACCGACAACGGCCGAGATAGAGACATACCTAAACAAAACCAACCTCCCGACTTTGACAGCCCAACAGAAAGACACCCTTACCCGACCAGTCACCCCTGAGGAGGTAGGAGACACCATAAAGTCGCTACCAAGGGGCAAGGCCCCGGGCCCTGATGGATTTGCCAACTCTTACTATAGCAAATTTAGAGATATATTGGCACCATGCCTAGCAGAAGTTTTCAATGAGGCCGTGCGAACACAAACCCTACCGGAGGAAATGCAGCTCGCCCACATTATCACTTTGCCCAAGCCTGGCAAACCCCCAAATTACCCACAAAATTTCAGACCCATATCCCTCCTTAATACTGACACTAAACTACTGGCGAAACTGTTCGCTATGAGGCTAAGCCCGATATTACCACACATCATACACGATGACCAAGTGGGATTTGTGACGGGGCGCCAGGGGGCAGACAACACCAGAAAAGTCCTCGACCTCATGCAAAGCTTAGGGGCGAAACGGGAAGGGGGGGTTCTGCTCTCACTGGACGCAGAAAAAGCCTTTGACCGACTGGGGTGGGGATTCCTGCAGGCGGCCCTGAGGAGGTACGGGATGCCGGAGGGGTTTATTTCAGTGGTCAGGGCACTGTATTCGGCACCAAGAGCCCAAGTACTTAATTCGGGTTTTGTGTCAAAAAAGATAACCATTACCAATGGAACAAGACAGGGGTGCCCCCTGTCCCCCCTGCTATATGTACTGGCACTGGAGCCGCTGGCTGCAGTGATCAGAGCCCACCCTGATATACATGGGGTCCAAGTGGGGGACAGGGAGTACACCCTTAATCTATTCGCAGACGACATACTCCTGACGTTGACGCAACCAATAATATCCCTACCGAATTTACTACAGTGCATACGAGAATATAACAAAGTATCCTACTACAAATTAAATCTCACAAAAACACAAGCAATGGGAATCCATCTGCCAGAACATACTTTACAAACACTGACGAACTCCTTCACCTTTGACTGGAGGGAAGACTATATCACATTCCTGGGGATTAAGCTAGCCAAGACGAGCGGCCAAATGTTTAAATATAATTATGAGAAACTCCTGCAGGAAATCTCTCAGACGTTAGACCAGTGGAACAGTGACTTCCATTCGTGGCATGGGCGCATAGCGGCATTTAAAATGTCACTGTTGCCAAAATTACAATACCTATTCCGCACGCTGCAAATCCCTATACCTAGGCAATATATGGTCAAACTACAAAAAATCATCACGAGATTCGTGTGGGCGAACAAAACACCCAGAGTGGCATACTCTACAATAAAAAGAACAACGGAGAGGGGGGGTATGAGCTTCCCAGACGTCAAACTGTACTACAAGGCGGCCATTCTAGCAGTGCTAGCCACGACACACAGGGCAGCTAACCCACCACAATGGGTAGCCATTGAATCCCAATGGACGTGTAGAGCAGGGATGCACCACTTGTTTTGGGTGCCAAAACACCTAAGGCCAACAACACCGACCATGCTAGAGACCACCAAACTAATGCTGCATACCTGGGACACATATAGAACGCACCTCAGTGGCTCAGGAACCACATCGCTAGCATCGACAATGTATAGTATCCACCTGAGGAACAAAACATTTGACTACCGGACTTGGACGGATGCAGGGTGTACACACATACACGACTTATACAAGGGTACATCCCTAAAACAGTTCCCGGACCTACAAACACAGTACAACCTACCGAGTAAAGCAATTTTCTCATACTTGCAGCTCAAGTCCACCCTACGGCAACCCAAGACTCCACCTATGACACCCATGATCTCAAACTTTGACACGTGGTGCCTCACGGGCAAGCCACACAGACGAAGCATTTCAAAAATATATAACACATTGCTTGAGGGCACTCACGCATCCACAGGCAACTTTATACAGGCATGGCACAAAGACCTTCGCAGCACCTTCACGGAGGCCCAATGGTCCAGAGCCTTTACAATCCACAAGGGCAACACAGCCTGCATTACACACTTTGAACAAGTGAGAAAACTGCAATACAGGTGGTATTTGGTCCCCACACGGCTAGCACACATGTTCCCGAATGTGTCTACTCAGTGCTGGAGATGCCAGCTAGACACAGGCTCACTAATACATATTTGGTGGACGTGTAAAGACGTGCAACCTTACTGGGCCATGGTGAGCACCATCGTGGACCAACTGCTTCCTGCAAAGATGACCCTGACCCCGGCTACATGCCTCTTATACATATGGCCAGAAGGCCTGACCAAGGTCCACTCCAAACTCCTATTCCACACGCTGATAGCAGCATGTAACCTAATAGCAAAAAACTGGAAATCACGGAACATCCCCACAAAAGCTGAGCTAGTTACCCAGATCCAAAAGAATTGGGAATATGAACGCATGGCGGCCCAACAATTGGGGACGGGAGTAGCAACTATGGAGGCGGGGAAAATTTGGGAACAATACTGGAACAAGGTGAAGTCCCAAACAACTGGGGATGAGTAAGATTCTTTAGCCTCACCAACGCAATCTGAGAGGGTATACCCCGGGAAACAGTGGAAAGAGGCCGGTGATGAGAGATCAAACAGGTACAGCGAACCCTTCTCAAAAGAAACCAGGTAGATGTACCACATACAGACGAGACAAACAACCCACCAGTGTATATATTTAAGCTAACTCCCCTCATACCCCTCCCCCCCCGGGTGAGCACCTGGACCCCCCCACTCCCCTCCACCACCTCCTTCTGTCCAACTCATTGACATAGGCCACACGGTAAAAAGGCACGACAACGAGCGCAGGACAGGCTGGTAAACATGTGGACACCTCCGGGCTGAGGTGCATAGACAGTGCCCTGCCGACACTGTTTAAACTATCCAAACTACGGCTGTACTAAGTAAAGTGGGATATAATGACCGTTGGAAATACACACGGTACCAACTAACCCCACTCCATCATACCCCACATTTGGCGTCTGTGATTCCCACCCCACCTTTGAAACACTAATGGTATACCAGGTAACCTCAGCCAGACCGGCATCTGGAGATACATGTTAAAGAGCCAAAACAATAAGCTGGTTATACAGAAAGGCCGGACAAGGTTGTAGTCATGATTATAAATACTAATAACCTGTGTATTGTATAAAGTGAAAATGTTGTATAAAGTATAATGTCATGAGTGGAACCTTCGTTATTCCACCCTGCCCCATTCATCCCCACCCCCCATTAATTTTTGTATCCCTTCCCCCCCCCCCTTTTTTCTATATGGAAAATAAAAATTGTCAAATTGAAAAAAAAAAGAATATTGTTCCTTTAGATGTTTCATGAGCATTAGAATATTCTGGTTTTCTCGGTTACATAGAGTCTCTGTGACGCACCATAAAAGGGTTAATATTTGGCAGTGCCGTGTTTTTTGCTCAGTCGGAATGTTCCCATGTATGCCTGGACCATGTTCTAGAATGTTAGAATTTGTAACTTGTATTAATATCAGCGTATAGCCATTTCTATCTAGCATATGAAGGGTTGTTTAATCCATGCGGAGCAGTTGTTATTTTGAGACTTCAGCATAGAGCTCTGTAATCTTCTCTAAGATTGGCTGATTGTTATGGTTTGGCACAGATCTACACCCCCACACCCAGCTGTAGTCCTAAACGAGCTGTGAATAGGATCTTTTTTTCCTCTCTCGTTCTGGCTGCACCAGCTTCTGTTAAAACTGCGGCTATTAGAAGCCTTTCATTTCATGCTTTTTAAAGATAGAACTAGGAGGGGTCCGCTTGGTGCCAATTTCTGCTTTTATGCTAAAGTCACATCTCACACCCAGATCTGATGGCACACAATTCAGGCACAGGAGATATGAGTTGGATGTCCTTCTGCCTTGAAAGCTCCAGAATCTCCAAGCAACAGCAGCTGACAATGTGCCAGGGCAAGTCATCCTACATAACACACAGTTCTTGGAAACAGATTTCAACTACAGGCAGAAGGGAAATTAGCAGTATTAACTGGGGGAGAAAAGTACTTTCTCTGTATTTAGAGTGAGCAGAGAAAATGAGATGCCTGTTTCTATGGGGTAGACATATGATGGCAGTATAAGAGTAACAGGAGTGAACAGGCTGCAAGGAGAAGAACATTAAGATATATGAGAGTATGAGGAGGGATGTAAGCTTAGATAAACAGACACATTTTTAGGGATCTTCTAAAAAAACATTTGGCCTTATGTGTTATTCTTCATCAAAACTGTGCCAGTGATCCGTGCCAAACCTGTCAGTATGAACCATTGTAGACAACCCGCTTCAGTCTTGAGGAACCCCACGCCATGAGGGTTGGAGGCTCCTGCTATTCCTTTCCTGCCTCCAGTGAGACCAGAATGGAGGGTCAGATCTTGCAGCAAGATCCTTCTGCCAGCCCACAAGTTGCTCCAAATGTGTCCAGCCCCACTCTGAGGAGAACAAGCCATGCTGGACTAATTTAGCAGTGGCCGACAGCAGGCCAAGGATTCATTTCTCCCACCAAAACACTAGACTTTTACACGTCATTCAACTAGGTCCTATTATGGCACTTCAGTTGGTGGCATATTGACTATCTGAACCTCAAGCTTGATCTATGTGACCTACTACTAATTCAGTACTGTGAGGAACGGCCATCTTGCATCTGAAGTATAGAAGATATTGATTAGTACTAATGAGTGCTTGTTTCATTCTGTAGTTTGTGAATGTCACTCCATATCTTGCCTAGAGCAATATTGATGCTGTGTTTTGTCCTGACCCCAACTGGAGATTGGCAAGTTGACTGTTCTCATTGAGGTGTATGGTGACATTTTTCATTTTTCTCAGATTTTGACAGAAATGTTAGGTTAATCATGTGGCAATTGTCAGGGTTGAGTTTGGCCTTCTGAGTAGAGGGTTTGTAATGATATTTGTTAATCTATACACTGCCAAAAAAAACACATACTTTTTTTTTTTTATCAATCTTTATTTTCTTTGTGCAATGGGTTACAAACAGGCTTGCCATGCCCTAACAGCAGAGCAAACTTTGCAATAAGACATATCGTAGTAACCTATGGCATTGAGGTTGCACATTGTTATAGAAATAAGAAAAACAAGATATTCAAATGCTTGGAATGCGTGATAATGAGAGGGTAATTATGCTTGTCTGTAGAAGGTGGTTTAAACCAAGCTTTCAACATATAATAAATGTCAGTCTAAGAAAATGCTTATGTTAGATATGCTAGGCTAAGCTAATCTGCCACTTAAGCTAAGAAGAGCTACAAGACAAGATGATTAGTTTAAGGAATATTCTATTGTTGTAGCATGAGGTTAAACTAGCAGAATTTATGTATAGACAGAGAAACATCTACAGTGGAATAGTGATGTGTTCCAATTAGGCTAAGAATCAAACAAGTACAAGCATACCCAGCTATACGGAGGGGTACCCCCAACTCACTAGAGCATATAAATATTGCCTATTGTAGTCTATATAAATCGCACAGTAAGTGCCCCGCTAAGGTTTATCACTGGTGGGTACACTGCCACCACTGTTCAATTAGGGCACACGTTATGAAGCATCCTGGAGGTTAAGTTGCTTTGTGCACCACATGTGTCTTACTCTGTTTATGGGTTTACCCAACACCAGCGCTTGCCATGAGTGTCCCATTACTGGGAACTGTGCTTACTAAATGTTGGCATTTTGCTCATATATAAACTTTTTACATTATATTGCCTTTTTCTATAGAAAGCTGTATTGCATACTAAGGGCATTTTACCATTTTTGTTTATCTATTGTTTGAAACAAATTATATTTTTGCTTCTTTTCTAATATCTCAGATCTTAGAATTGTTTAAAGGGATGAATAATTAAAAAAATAAAATTAGTGTAAATCTACATAATGTAAATGTTATGTATCTGTAAACAGAATTGCTATTTCACCCCACATTATCTGCAAGCTATGAAACACTCTGTTGCAAATAAATGCTATACTAGTTATTTTAAAACAAAAAGTGATTTGTATGGGAAGAGATTTACATTCAGCCTGAATTATTACAGTAAAAGTCCATGATGGATCTGCATTATTTGTGTAGCTAGGCATAGGTCTTGTGTTAATGATGATGGTATATATAGCTTATCCATTGCGATTGTTAAGGTCCTAAAAAAAAACAACTTTAGCTTAATGAAGCAGTTTTAGTAAACAGATCATGCCCCCGAATTCTCACTTCTTAATTCTCTGCCATTTAGGAGTTAAATCACTTTTGTTTCTAGCCACACCTCCCCTTCTGGCTGTGACTGACACAGCCTGCATGAAAAAATGGTTTATTATCAATATGACGTTATCTTACTTTAGAGGTTTTTATCTCCTGCTCTGTAAATCAAACTTTAATCACCCACACAGGAGGCTTCTGCAATGTCTAACAAGCTAATATATGGAAAAAAAACACATAAATGTCTAGTGGACACTGAGGCCCAAAAGACACAAATATGTCTCTTGTAGTGTAATAATAATAATAATTAAAAAAAACACACAATTTTATTAGTATAAGCAAAAGGACACTTTCAAAAGAAAAAAACAGAGAAAAGGAAAAAACCTTTTAAAAAAACCCTAAATGGCTCTACAGTTATAAGGGAACAAGGAGGTTTGAATGGGCATGGAGGATATATTGGATGGAGCAGATCCGAATGGATGAGGTGCAAGGTATTATACCAAAAAACAAGTTTGAGCCTTACAGGCGCAGCAGGGAAGAGATCTAATTAATGATCTAACCCTATGTTGCCTATATGTTGCTGGCCATCAAAATAGAGGCAAGCTGCTACAATCTAGTAAAAACTCATCTGAATTACAGTTAACCCCCATCACCAATATATCATAGAGGATCATGAGTTACTAACCTACTTATAGATTTCTATACTTATGCTGTGACACTGTAATCACTACTTATCAGCAGCCAAAAAGGTAACAAAGTGACCCAAAGGTGAGAACAACTGCTACTATATAGAGAAAATTTGTCCTGATTTAAATGAAGACTCTGTAACTACTATGCAGCTGTACCAAATGGCCTAGGTTACTCCCCTGCTTCAAGATTTCTACACTCTAGCTAAACCTCAGAAGCCCCTCACCACATCCAATCTGGCGTCCCTCTTTCAATATAGCCGTATTACAACACTTCCATGTCTCCCCCCGATAACTGAAATCCCACAACTAAATCAACCATGCATAACTACTGCATGTGAAAAATGAAATAAAGCAATAAAACAAGCTAACAAGCTATTAACAGGAGATACATTCTAAATTAAACAATAAAGGCAATGTAAACTTTGGATCTCTCTTCACAGGAAGTGTTTATGGAGCTTTGCACATTATATACAGGGAGGTGACTACGGCTGCATAAACTCCTAAATGGTAGAAAATTGATGACAACTTAAAAATGAAACCAATGATTAGATACATGTGCACGTTCTTGAGCCTGTAACTGATAAGATGTGACATCAATGAACCAAGAAACAATTACTTATTTCACAGCATAGCTGAAATCCCCTTAGCATTGAGGGAAGATGCTGCCGTTTTAGGCTGTGTGTGTCTCCCATCCACCATGGCACCAACTGTTAATGGAGACAGTCGAAGAAAACTGAACCATGGGGACCATATTAAAGCATAGGTTTGGGGAAAGTTGCCCATATAATGGCTAAACTTGTAAATCAGCCTTATGGATTCTACTCTATCTACCCATTCTTTAATGGATAGAGTTATAGTTGACCTCATTTGCAAGGAGGCTTTTGTTGCATTTAATAAATGAGGTAATAGAGATCTTGTGTGTTTTGTGTATTGTATTATTATAGATGTCACTACTAGACCGTTTAAATGTCCTGTAACCTGCAATTGCCTCAATAAAAGATTGACAACAACAACAACAAAAAAACAAGACCTGTTAGCGTTTGTATCTGAAAATTGTTCGTTAGTAGTTAAATCATAGGACTGCTTCCACCAAAGCTTTCACTTTAGTGTCGGTCAGAGTAACAGCACACAAACATACGTTTATATGTTCTGCTATGTGTGCTATGTGAAGACATATAAAAACCACATTAGTGCATAGCTGTGAATAATAAATGTTAAACCCTCCAAAGTTGCAATAGCCTAGCTCTAACTACCCTGTAATTTCTTGCAACTCTTAACAAGCTATGCTATATCACCTGATACATTCACATAGGACCTGCTTGATTGATGGTTTGTGACGTAAAGCCAATTATTTTTGTGTCTTCATAAATGAAACCTAATCTCGTAGACTGGATTTTATTTCCTCTAATAAAATGAATTCTTCAGACAGATGGATTTGCTGAGCGTAATGAGACTTGTATCTTCCACACAAGAAATTTTAGAGGCTGCCTCTTTGTGGCTATGAGACTTATCCGTGTTTGTGATGACAGGAATTAGTGAACATGCAAATTGAACCCAATGTAATTCCCACCAATCTCCGACAGACTGGACATGTATAAAACTAACAGAAACCAAAAGAGTGTAAAGCACTTAAAAATATCAAAAGTATAAATAGTGCACAAAGCCACACAATTACAGCAGCACTCACCAAACGTGACAAACAAATGACACCCCAAGTTAGTATATCAATAAACAGTGCACTTAAATTGTGTAAAACATAGAATCTTCAAATGTTCTGTAAATAATAAAAGGGACATTATATAGAGCAGAACATCTGCTTGTTTTGCATGCTCTGTTGTGGGTATCTTCCTGGCAATAAGAGTTTTTAACCTTTTTTATTATAATAAAGTTTTGGATAATGTTCAATCGGGGTCCTGGCCACTCTGTCTGTCTCCTACTTATATATAAGGACGTGTCTGGCTGAACACACCTGAGAATATCTATCTTGTCTAAATATCCCATTGTGGGAATTATCCCTCTCAAGCTGAATTTTTCATTTCCAAAACCCGGTGATGATTTGGCTCTGATAAGTGTGAGTTTAAAGGCCCACTATAGTGCCAGGAAAACATACTCACCCTCAGGGACCCCCTCCCGTCCGGCTCTGGAAAGGGGAAAGGGGTAAAAACTTACCTTTTTCCAGCGCTGGGCGGAGAGCTCTCCTCCTCTGACCCTCCTCTTCTCCTCCCCGCCGGCTGAATGCGATGCGCGGCAAGAGCTGCGCGCGCATTCAGCCGGTCACATAGGAAAGCATTCATAATGCTTTCCTATCACAGTGAGAAGCATGCAAGCGCCTCTAGCGGCTGTCAATGAGACAGCCGCTAGAGGAAATAGGGAAAGGCTTAAACCATTCATAAACATAGCAGTTTCTCTGAAACTGCTATGTTTATGAAAAAATGGGTTAACTCTAGCTGGACCTGGCACCCAGACCACTTCATTAAGCTGAAGTGGTCTGGGTGCCTAGAGTGGTCCTTTAATTCCAGACACTCTCTGCACTTTATATTGTGTGTATAAGCTTAACCAGGTTGTCTCCATTATATATGCTTATCATTTACAGAACATTGTAATATTTGTTTCCCATGATACACAATTCACTGTTATTTGATAGATTATGGTGAATAGCAGTGAATCTGCAAGAAAATATGGTGCATGTTACAAAGTTTATTACCAGTCCAGATTATCATTATTATACTAACCTGAAGATGTTTAAGGGACATGAAATGGAAAGAATAGTAACAATAAACGTCAAAGGCAAATCCTGAAGTGGGATGCACTGTTATCAAAGTTGAATGCCCTATCAGATATATTTAATGCCTTCTGTCCCATATCCTTTGTCTCCTGCAGTGCCTCCTATTATCGTTAGCAAGTTAACTTTCTAGCAGTCTCTAAGGAAGCAACTGATACTGACTGCTTTGGGAATCACTCAGGCCCCCACAGGAGATAGCCGTTTTACAAGTAGAAATCTCTTGGACATTGCACAGGACAAGTTTCTAAACCAGGCCAGTGTCTAGTCTATGTGTTTGTAGAGACCATGCCTAGCACAACAAGACCAACAAATGATGTTCCTAAAGAGGTATTATGATGATATTTTGTTATTTCAGTGATTCTGTTGAGTTTGGTTTTATTTAGAGTTTATGCTAACCTGACGTTACCGATTTTGATGAGATTTGAGGATGAAGTTCTATGTTTCTATGTTTGGAGGTAATAAAAAGTGTGTTGAAGCAAATATAACATACATTTTTATTGAGTTATTTTTTTTTTTTAGACTGGTATAATTTTACTTTATTTTTACACAACTTTCAGCTTGTTGGTGTATTTTAGGAATTAATTGCCTGACATTGCATGATTATTTTATAAAAGTTTAAATTTCAAAGGAAATTGGCACTTCTATAATTCACTTTACTCACACTCATGGACAGCTGGGAGGGTTTCCTGCCTCACACGCCATGTGAAGTATAGCTCAAAGAGGAAGTACATGCTTCTCATAAAGAAGCATTGGGCATCCACCCTATGTCTCCAAAGCTTTTCTACGACAAGGATTAGATTGGACAGAGGTAATCAGGATGGAGAGAGGAGACTGTCTGAATCACAAGTCAGTTTATCTTCTTTATTGTAACTTTTTATTGTAGAAAAGAAGCATAGATGCAGAAAGAACATTCTTCGTTTCTTGGAGTGTAGCTTCCTAAACATGCTCAATAGAATAAAAAAAAAAAAAAACAATGTCTATGTGATTATAAAGCCCACAACTACACAAAGGATCATTACTACACAGGGCCTTGCAGAGAGTGTATACTGAATCCTTGCCTCCCTGGCTGGTAGGTTGCTGTATTGAACTTTCAGACTATGAGTTGCTGCCGAACGTGGGCTGAATTTACAGACCTTCAGCAGGGATTGCATCAAGACATGATAAGGAAAATATATTCTCACCAAGGTGAAAGTCAGTGCCAAAAGTAATGGTTGGGGGTTTATAAATGGATTTCTTATACCTCACTTTACAATGTAAAACAAAATGGACATTGACATTATCAGGGCTTAAGACAGCAATTTAATGATAATAATGCAGAGGAACTAATAGGTTTACGCTATGAATATAGAATAGAAGGGATTTTCTGAAGAAAACACACAGAATTTGCCATGTAAAATATGCAGATATAGTATGGCATTCACAAGTTGGCTGTACTACAAGTATATGGTTAAACATTCATGTGAGTAGGAGAGAATACTAAGAGAGGGTCATTGTGAGGGTAATTGTAGGATTAGGAAAAAGGAGTGAGTGGAGTCAGTAGACAGTGAGCCCTTTGTTACCCCGCAGCCAGCAGCTAAACATGTCCTAAGGCATGCATGTGATACAAAACATGAGATTGCTAGGTTAGGCTACTCCGTGAAGACACGTCTGCATCTCCTATTACTTGTACCAGTTGTAATTCCTCAAGGGTTCTATACAGACAAATCAAACATGTAATATTCTGTGTATGAAAGTCCAGATTGGAGTCTTTAAAGGAACACCATAGCTTTGGGAATACAAGCATGTATTCCTAGTGCATTAGAGTTCTCCTTCCTAATTAGATTCATCCTCCAACACCAAAATGTAATTTTAAAAAGGGAAAAAAGTTTTTGCAGAACTCACTCAGTCAGCCGCTCAGTCTCCTGTGACATTCTCCAGCAGGTGTTGCTTCTTTGGCTTCTTGTCCAATCCAATAATTCTCAAACAGAATCAGGGGACAAAAACATCTGCAGTGAGTCCAGTCAAATACTTCCCATAGGGAAGCATTGAAACCAATGCACCCCTGTGATAAGCATTTGATAACATTTGTTATTCGTTTTTTACTGGTTGGTGTGTTTAGCCCTGCAATGAAAACATTGCTGTATCTATTAAAGGACCACTATAGTGCCAGGAAAACAAACTAGTTTTCCTGGCACTGCAGTGCCCTGAGGGTGCCCCCACCCTCAGGGTCCCACTCCCGCCGGGCTGAAGGGAGAGGAAGGGGGTTAAACACTCTCCTTTCTCCAGCGCCGGGCTCCCTCGGCGCTGGGGACTCTCCTCCTCCTTTGGTTGTCATCGGCTGAATGCGCATGCGTGGCAAGAGCCGCGCGCATTCGGCCAGTCCATAGGAAAGCATTCTTAATACTTTCCTATGGACGCTGGCGTCTTCTCACTGTGAAAATCACAGTGAGAAGCGCGGAAGCGCCTCTAGCAGCTGTCAATGAGACAGCCACTAGAGGCTGGATTAACCCTAATGTAAACATAGCAGTTTCTCTGAAACTTCTGTTTACAGCAGGCAGGTTAATCCTAGATGGACCTGGCACCCAGACCACTTCATTGAGCTGAAGTGGTCTGGGTGCCTATAGTGGTCCTTTAAGTGGCATTGTATTAGATTGCAGATGCATAATAACAAAGACGCTGCACCAAGACCACTTCATTGAGGTGAAGTGGTCTTTGTGCCTTTAGTGTTCCTTTATTGTGTGGAGCCAGGAATTTACAACAATGCAATCTATAATTTTATTAAAAAAAGACTGTCAACAATGACAAGAGTAGCCCTATTATACAAAGACACAGAAAATGTGATACTTCAAAGCAACTTGTGATACATCTAGACCAGTGGTTCTCAAACTTTTTAGGTTCAAGGCGCCCTTAATATTTCAGTATTTTTCCAAGGCACCCCAAGTCAAAATCTCTAAGTTGTATATCTGTACAGCGCTGCCGCATATACTGGCGTTATAGTGTAATGTGTTGGTGTTTGAAGGGGTGCTTGTATATATTAATTGTGTTTTAATATAGGGGTGTGTTTGTATGTGATGTTTGCGTTTCATTGCAGGGGTGTGTCTGAATGTAATGTTCACTTTTAAATGTGGATGTACATTTGTGTGAAGTATTTGTTTTTGATTGAAGGGGTGTGTTTGTATATTTTTTGTTTGTTTGAATTCAGGGGTGTGTTTGTATGTAATATTTGTGTTAAATTGCAGGAGTGTGCCTGTATGTTGTGCTGACACATACGTAGATACACAGATATTCATGCACATTAACACACAGATGCATATAAATACACAGACACATACACACAAATTCATATAGACACCGACACATTCACACAAAAAGATACACACCGACATATACACACACAAACATTGATACATGCCCACACCATGACACAGATACACACTGACATAAAAACAGACCCTGACACACAGATGCGCATACACAGATGTGTGTGCGCACACAGACACAGAAGCACACTGACATATATATACACACACAGATGCACACCCTGACACACACACAAACACTCATACACACACTCACACTCAAACACTCATTTACACACTCATACACACACACACTAATACACTCACACACACACACGTGATTTTTTTTATTATATCTCCAGCCACCCACCTGTCGGCTTACCTTATGTGCCAGGAGGGTGGCTTGGAGTCCTGCTGCTGTGAGAGTAAGGGGTCTGGAGCTCTTCATGTTCCTCTCCCCTCATGCTCCTCCCACTCTGTCTCCCTGCAGGATGCTGGGAGGAAGTGACAAAAAAAAGTAATGTTTCCCTGGTGCTATAATCATCATCACACAGTTTGGGAACTGCTGATCTAGACTGTAAGCTCGTTTGAGCAGGGTCCTCAACTACCTATTGTTCCTGTTACATTTTGTTATTGTCTCATTTGGTAAATCCCCCTCTTATTGTAACGCACTGCGGAGTAAACTGGCGCTATATAAATACTACTACTAATAATAATACACTGTATTACTCAATAACACAGGTACAGTATATTCCTATAACACAAAGGCACACAAATATGTACTATAAACCCCTATAAAACCGTTGTACAATACAAAATACAATGCATAAACCCCATGACAGTGTAGTGATAGATTTCCATAGCACCTATAAAACAAGTAAAGATTTGAATAGTACATTGATTGCATCAACAGTGAACTGTATTCATAGTTCACATGAATAAGAATTTGCATGCTGACAAAGCTTTTACTGTATCAAAAAATTGAGCAGATAAGTTATGCTATACAGAGCCGTATAGTCTTGGTTTGCCTGATGCAAAATTACGTGTAACCAAACGCTTAAGCAGTCAGTAATTCTTATCTACTGTTCTTTATTTTTCAACAATTTTTGTTTGTCAGTTTATATTAAACAGAGATTAAAGGAACACTATAGTCACCAGAACAACTACAGCTTAATGTAGTTGTTCTGGTGAGTATAATAGCTTCCTTCAGGCATTTTTATGTAAACACTGTCTTTTTCCTAGGGACACCTCCAAGTGGCCACTCCTTACATGGCCCCTGGAGGGGCTTCCTGGCAAAGGGCTGCACAGTAAGCAGCCCTGCCGTTCAGCGTCCCCACCAACTGCATAGAGATGCTGAATTTTCCTCATAGAGATGATTGCATTGATTCAATGCATCTCTATGAGGAGGTCCTGATTGGCCAAAACGGCATTTTACCCCGCTCCCGTGCCGATTTTATTCAATCCAAGCACTGGACTGACTAATAATCGGCCATTTTGATTATGTCAGAAAGGGGGCGGAGCCAGTGCCGTCGGACCCGCGTGGCGCTGGAAATCAGGTGAATTTTAAACTTTTATAGGGGAAATAAGGAGGGGGCAAGCCACCTAAATGGTGGGCATAGCACTATAGGGTCAGGAATACAGGTTTATGTTCCTGACCCTATAGTGATCCTTTAACAAGTACACGGGTACACTTAGCATCATGCATGACTGTGATGAGTGGTGATAAATTTCTATCTGATCAGGTTCCTTGGAGGTTAACATGATAAGGTTGTTTTGAGGGTGTAGAGTAAGGAGTGAGGAGTCCTTTGTAGTATTTGGAATTTCAATGGGAGAAATAAGTAAAGATGGAGGTGGAAAAGTAAAAGATTAGCGTGAGAAGAAAAATAAGGAGGGTAAGGGGAAAATCAGAAGAAAAAAATTAAAATATGAATAAATGTATAGAGATAGTAATGGGATTTATAGATCTGTCCAATCCCATTACTATCTCTATACATTTATTCATATTTTAATTTTATAGATCTGTCCAATAATGTTCAGTTTAAAAGCATAACACTCATAAGACTTCATCATAAATGTAATAGATTACGTTGTTGTCAGTGTTTTAGGTTTATCGAAAAAACTTTAATCAGGACAAATAAGAAATAAAATAGTCCATGTATTTATAAAAAATATACATAAAAAGCAAAGTACTCACTACAATGACAGACTTCATCTAAAAATTCAAAGTGAATTTCACATTTAAGGTCAAAATATCCTAATCGGAAATTGCGTCATTATGTCCTGAACAGCATTGGCTTTAACAACGTTAGGAAATAATGACACCTACTAACATCAGTCCTAGTCATGTAATCATGATGACACTGTGATCACATGACTTGGATGAGCTGGATTGCAGGATGTGCTGTAGGTGTACTGCTTGGGTTTGCTGGCAGCTAATAAAATAACAATCATACACAAATAAGAAAATAAATTTAGAATTAATTTATATATATGTGTTTTTTTCATTTTAACTGTATTTTGATATTATTATATATAATTATATATACAAAATAGTGTATTTATATATAATTATATTGTTTTTTTTAATGGTTTATTGTGGGACCAGCCTGACAACTGACAGGAATATCAGAGAATTAAATTTGGAAGCCTATATTTGATCCTGTAAATTTCCGATATCCCATAAAGCCTGTACATGAGGGGTACTGTTGTACTCGTGAGAGTTAAATCGCTTTGTTTATACTGCCTTAGCCACGCCTCCCTGAATATAACTTGCACAGCCTTCGTAAACACTTACTGTAAGGAGTGATCTACTGTTTAAACTTCCTTCATGTTAATAGCTTGCTAGAGTCAGCAAAATCCTCACATGTGGAATTAAAGTTGCATTTATGGAGCAGGAGATAAAAACTTATAAAGCAAGTTAACATCTGATAAAAACATTTTTTATATAGGCTGTTTGTGTCACCGTGGATTTTGAGCTCAGCTGTTTAAAATATCTCCAAACTAGATGTTTTTTTACAAAAACACACAATTCATGTCAGATACTTTGCTTAGGGTGTTCTAAAGGATTCTTCTAGTATTTTTATGGATGCAGATTTCTAAAGTGGCAGAGCAATGCACACATTATTACTTTTTATTGAATGCAAGCTCCACATACAGTAAATATAGAAACCTAGGTGAAACCAAGCATCTTTATGTACCAAGAATAGTGCCGACTGCAGAGCCTTCCCTAATCCATCCTTCCCCTGAATGCTGTTCAGTAGCCAAGAAACAGTTTAAAAACTAATTAAATGAGGAAATCTTTAGTGAGCAATCCCACCACTGCTGCAAGGATGCAATCAAAGACTGTACACTTTCCCATTACGAAAGCTTTACAGACGAGAACATAAACCTTGAACATCAAGGATGTACTAAAAAACAAGAAGTGACAGTTACTAGTACTTCCCTATGTTTAAAGGACCACTATAGTGCCAGGAAAACATACTCGTTTTCCTGGCACTATAGTGCCCTGAGGGTGCCCCGCCCGGCTCTGGAAGGGGGAAAGGGGTAAAAACTTACCTTTTTCCAGCGCTGGACGGGGAGCTCTCCTCCTCCGATCCTCCTCCTTTCCTCCTCCTGGGCTGAATGTGCACGCGCGGCAAGAGCTGCGCGCGCATTCAGACGGTCGCATAGGAAAGCATTTACAATGCTTTCCTATGGACGCTTGCGTGCTCTCACTGTGAAAATCACAGTGAGAAGCACGCAAGCGCCTCTAGTGGCTGTCAATGAGACAGCCACTAGAGGCTTTGGGGGAAGGCTTAACCCATTAATAAACATAGCAGTTTCTCTGAAACTGCTATGTTTATAAAAAATGGGTTAACCCTAGAAGGACCTGGCACCCAGACCACTTCATTAAGCTGAAGTGGTCTGGGTGCCTAGAGTGGTCCTTTAAAATCTATTGGGTAGTTGCCTGTTAAAATCATGTAAACAAGGCTGCCATCAGTTCCCACAGACATAAAGCAGTGTAACATAGCGTGCCGCGCGAGTTGCCATCGTGGGGCTCACGTGATTTGGACTGAGGAGCAGCTGGAAAGAAAAGATGGTGCTGGCTGGGCCCCCTCAGCACCATATAGGCAGGCGGCGGCGGCCGCCAGCATGTGCACATATATATATTGACAACCACTATATATATAGGGAAGTACTAGTAACTGTCACTATATATAGTGGTTGTCAATATATATATGTGCACATGCTGGCGGCGGCCGCCGCCTGCCTATATGGTGCTGAGGGGGCCCAGCCAGCACCATCTTTTCTTTCCAGCTGCTCCTCAGTCCAAATCACGTGAGCCCCGCGATGGCAACTCGCGCGGCACGCTATGTTACACTGCTTCCTCTCATTAACCAGGTACCTCCTTAATATACACACAGCCACTTCTCATTATACACATAGTGCCACTTTTCGCTTCACTCTGCCATTTTACACTATACACACTGCCACTACATCCACTACACACACTGCATCCATTACACAAATATACATTCTGCATCCACTATAAACACACTCTGCATCCACTATACACACACTGCATCCACAACACATCAGTGCCGGTAAAGCCCGCCAAATACCTGTGAACACACACACTCTACAACCACTATAAACACACTTCATCCACTATAACTATTCTGCATCCACTCCACACACACCGCATCCACTCTTCACACACCACATCCATCCCACAGACACTGCACCAGTGTGGGCGGACTCAGGACAGGGTGGATCCCAGGGGTCCAAACCTTGAGCTGTGTAAGAGCCCCCAAAATTTCGTATGGCAGCCCTGCATGTAAAGCATCACTTTGCTTCCAAGCCCTCATGCCTTATAATGTCAAATACCAAGAATTTGCTAAGTGAGCTAAGACTACATTATATGAAACTATTACATCAGCTATGTGGAACTGATAAATTCAGTTTTATATATATATATATATATATATATATAAAAAAAAAAATATATATATATATATATATATATATATGGTATACGGTGAATTTTGCCGCAATAAGCATGTTACTCAGTAACAAGTCTAATTTTCGAGAGAATAGTGTATGCAGTGCAAAACATGAAAGTCCGTATTGGTGGAAAGTGCCATTTATAATGTTACCAGATAGCACAGTTCTACATGGGAATTTTTCTTTGATTTTTTTCTTTGACTTTAAGATTCCAAAATAACTTGGGAGAATTAGATTTATGGTTTTTTTTCCAATATGAATATAACCATTGGATTAAGTGTTCCAAATCTTAACATTAGTTATTACATTTCACTATATCAATATAGGCAGTACAAGGTAGTCAATTATGTGTTTTTACCATTCAGCAACATATTGGACAAATTTCTTGTTACCAAATGGTCCATATATCAATTTAATTTCTAGTTCAGGTTTTTACCACATAAGACCTTATGCTTTCTTGTCCTGTAGTTATCCCCTTTATTTTACATTACAACGAGGACACTACTATTTTATAACTTGTTAAGTCCAGCTATCTACATGTATTTTATTTTTGATTTATATATGGTTTTGATTTAAACATTTCATTTTTGATATTCACCATATCTATTTATCAATAAATCTATCCAGCCCTATTTCTCTTCACAGTATACTGGACCTCTAAGGGTTAACTGTGAGGGATAGGGCTCTGAGACACTTTCCTCACTTGCCCCTCCCCTCTCTCATTTCGGCTAAACTATCAGCCAATCCGGAGAGAGGGTGGGCTATTTAAATGACATGCTGTCCGTTTACCCGGTTCCCTTGAAAAGCCGTTTTACGGCGAAACGCGCGTCGGGTGCAGTGCAGCAGAGGGTGTGGGAGGCAGACAGGGACGATCCTACTACGATTTAGTAAACTTACAGCCACCCCTCTGCTTCATTTATTTTATTTTATTCAGTTCTAGACGCTTTATTAGTTTAGACTTTTTTCTCTACCTTTTGTCAGCCATACTCAGCTAGCGATTATTATAGAGAGTTAGAAATCGATTTTGAGTGAGATTGGGAAACGGGAGTAGCGATACATAACAGGGATATTGGGCTCTACTTTTCATTTAACCCTGTCCTTTTCCCTTCTTACTTGTGCCAGCAATATATATAGGCACCATTTCATGATATTTATTATTTTCCTTTGTCTCTCTCCTGTCGCTAAATCTATTTAGCTTTGGTTGTAGCGATTGCGCTAATTAGACATTTTGTGACTGTGTTACTATTTTAAATTACCTATTAAAAGTTATATTTTACTTATTCAATATGGATTGCTAACTATGTACCAGTAGACTGTGGGCATAAAGTTTATGTTTCCCACAGTTTTACTTGTACCCTTTTTTTCTCTACTAATTATTGTTTCAATAGGGGTTACCCCCCATTTTCACCTTAGCAATCTTGACACACTCTTTCCTCTCTCTGTTTTTTCTATCTAAATATAATTGTTCTCAGTAGGTTTCAGTACCAATTTTGAACAGAGAGTAGAACCTAGGATAACTAATTTTCATTGTACTTTTATAGACATCAAAGATTATTAGGTTATTATTTGGCTATTATACTAATTAAGCTGGACTTAACATGTCAGATTTTTTACAACAAGTGGTACATCCAGACTTTAGGTCTGAAGATGTGGCAAATGTGTTTTCTAACAAACCATTGGGGAACCTTAACAGTGACTCTAACGATATAAATCAAGCATTTTTTGCGATACAAAAATTATACCAAACACAGCTAAGGGGCTTTTGGGAGCTAGCCAGTTTGAGACATTATATCGAACAGAAGTTGGTACCAAGAGGTCTTAGACCTGACATTTTACTGCCTGATAAAGTGAAAACAGAAGAACAGGTTGCGGAATGGAACTCCATCCTGCTAGACTGTTCGGCTAAAATAATGCAATTTTTAATCAAATTAGAACAAGAGAGTCTAGAAAAAACCAACGGGGACCTAGACACAGAGATTAAGAAAATTAAGACATTTGAAAAAGAACCAGAGTTTATAGCTATGGAAACAAAGCTAGAAAAGAATTTGGAAAACTTTAAGAGGAACATAAGACATAAAAAACATTATAAATTCCAGAGGGATTTTAAAGACTTCCAGGAAGGAAATATCTTTAAAAATAAAAATAAAATCAGACGTGACTTTAGAAATAACAGGATGGGAAACAAGGGTTTTTCTTCCTCTGATGAAACAGAATGGTCTGAATCAGAAACAAGGCCTCGATTTAATAAAAGACCACCCCCCAAAAAGACTCAATACACATCCACAGTTCAAACTAGAGGGATCCTAAGAAATACAGATAGGAATATTTCCTTTTCAGATCCCCCTGCTTTTGGTCCCACTTCAGACTCTAATTCCAGACAAGAAACCCCCTTAGGTTCATCCCAGTCCTCCTCTACTTTTTTAGATCAGGAATGGCCCCAACCACAAAGGGCACGACTCAGAGACAGAAAAAAGCGGGGATACAAAGTACATCAGTCCAACTTCCAATAGTGGATAAATTGGAAGAAAACAAAATCATAAATTTATCCAACTTTACTCTTAAACCTAGGCATGTCTCACTGCTACAGAAAGGATTATCATTTGTCCCCACACCCTCTAGAAATAGGTTCAATTGGGCCAAAGATGTAAACCTATTTGGTCGCAAATTGGCCCTTCATGCTTTCCATGAAAAGAGAAATCTAAAGAACTTGAGGGAACTAGGTCTTACATCAGAGGATAATGAAATTTTCAGTATACTCACAGATCTGCACTCTGAACAAGAACCTTTAAATTCCCTCACAGACTGTAAACCTCTGTGTTGGTTTACCCCAAACCTCAAAGAGTTCCCATGCATAGATTTATTCGTACAAATGTGTACTAACGACTTAGAGTTTCAAAGTACCCAACAGTGCCACACTTCAAATTTGAAATTTGAGGAAAGTCTGGCTCTACAAGAATTACAATTAGAGACAGAAATTGTGATAAAATCTTCTGATAAAGGAGGAAATATAGTCCTTATGCAGCGAACACAATATATTGACATGTGTATGAAACATTTATCAGACGACAATACCTATCAGGTTCTGAAAGAAGATCCTACTAAAGGATACCTTAGGGAATTACAGCTATTGGTGCAAGATGGTTTAACGGAGAATGTAATAACACAAAATGAACACAGATACATTGTGTCTCAGTCCAATATCACTATAGCTACATTTTACTGTCTCCCCAAGGTGCACAAGGATCTGTGTAACCCTCCGGGGAGACCTATTGTCTCAGGCAATCATAGCCTAACTGAGAGAGCTAGTCAATTTCTGGACAAATTACTCCAACCGATAGTACAAGGCCTTCAGTCCCACATACGGGACACTAAACAGACGCTATTGACTTTGGAAAACCTTACAGTGCCACCTTATACGTCTCTAGCGAGTCTAGACGTGGTGGCTATTGACTTTGGAAAACCTTACAGTGCCACCTTATACGTCTCTGGCGAGTCTAGACGTGGTGGCACTGTATAATAACATTCCACATGATAAAGGTTTAGCAGGTGTAGCTTATTTCTTAGAAAAGGCTGAGACTTTCAATGAACAGGAACAACGGTTCATTTTGCGGCTATTAGAATTTGTGTTAACACACAATTATTTTACATTCAATGGGAAATATTTTTTACAACTCCGGGGCACAGCTATGGGATCATCGTGTGCACCCAGTTATGCCAACCTATTTCTGGGTTGGTGGGAAGAGACCATGGTATTTATTGACTCAAATGCCATTTTCACTTCATCTATATTAAAATGGTATCGCTATATAGATGACGTGCTAATTTTCTGGATAGGTCCCTTTACGTTGTTCAAAGAAATGGTAGACATACTTAATGTAAATTCAATCAATCTTCAACTTACTCACGTCATACATGTTAAACAACTGGTATTCCTGGATTTATTGATTAGCATCCAAGAGGATGGACTAATCTCTACATCACTCTATAGAAAACCCACAGCAACCAACAGTTTGCTTCACTGGCAGAGCTTCCATCCATATCATATCAAGGCCAACATACCCTATGGCCAATATTTAAGAGCCAAAAGAAACTGCTCGAATCAGGAAGATTATGAAAAGGAGGCGAAGGAATTAAAAAACAGATTCAAGAATCTTGGCTACCCCAACAGAATATTAAAAAGAGCCTATCAAAGAACTAAAGCTGTAGATAGGATAGAAAGTCTGCACAGACCCCCGAAAAATAAATCTACAACTCCAGGGGTTACGAGGTTTATAGGCACCTTTGACAAAGACTGGAACCAAGCACTACAGGTGTTGAGTAAAAACTGGCCAGTATTACAGTATGATACTTGCCTAAAAAACACTATCACTGAACAACCCTCAATGACCTATCGCAGAGCAAAGAATCTGGCAGACCATCTAACACATAGCCATCTAAAACCAGCACAAATTACTTCTACTTGGCTTCAAACCAAAGGTCTCTTCAAGTGCGGCCATTGTAAGGCCTGTGACTTTATACTTCCCTCAAAAACTGTACATAACAAACGAACCTCTAAAGACGTAGTGGTGAATTCATTTATCAACTGCAGCTCCACTAATGTGATTTATCTCATAACATGTGAATGTGGGCTACAGTACATCGGTAAAACTTATCAACAACTACGCAGACGGATTTTACAACACATCAATTCCATTACGAACCCACGCATTGATACACCAATTGCCAAGCATGTACGCCTGAATCATGCCTCTAAATCGAATGTACTTAAATTTCAGGTGATCCAAAAAATGTTTCAGAACCATCGGAAGGGAGATATTAACGTTGCCCTTCTTAAAGCTGAGTCCCGTTGGATCTATTCCTTTCAAACTTTATATCCGAAAGGATTAAATGAGGAGTTTAAATTCACTCCATTTATTCATGCATAAAGACAAATTGACCTGTTTCCTCCTGGCTATTGAAGAGTTTTTATCATAAAGTGGCCCTATGGTCATTTACATTGATAGCCAAAAGTGTATGGTTCTTCTACATGGGAATTTTTCTTTGATTTTTTTCTTTGACTTTAAGATTCCAAAATAACTTGGGAGAATTAGATTTATGGTTTTTTTTCCAATATGAATATAACCATTGGATTAAGTGTTCCAAATCTTAACATTAGTTATTACATTTCACTATATCAATATAGGCAGTACAAGGTAGTCAATTATGTGTTTTTACCATTCAGCAACATATTGGACAAATTTCTTGTTACCAAATGGTCCATATATCAATTTAATTTCTAGTTCAGGTTTTTACCACATAAGACCTTATGCTTTCTTGTCCTGTAGTTATCCCCTTTATTTTACATTACAACGAGGACACTACTATTTTATAACTTGTTAAGTCCAGCTATCTACATGTATTTTATTTTTGATTTATATATGGTTTTGATTTAAACATTTCATTTTTGATATTCACCATATCTATTTATCAATAAATCTATCCAGCCCTATTTCTCTTCACAGTATACTGGACCTCTAAGGGTTAACTGTGAGGGATAGGGCTCTGAGACACTTTCCTCACTTGCCCCTCCCCTCTCTCATTTCGGCTAAACTATCAGCCAATCCGGAGAGAGGGTGGGCTATTTAAATGACATGCTGTCCGTTTACCCGGTTCCCTTGAAAAGCCGTTTTACGGCGAAACGCGCGTCGGGTGCAGTGCAGCAGAGGGTGTGGGAGGCAGACAGGGACGATCCTACTACGATTTAGTAAACTTACAGCCACCCCTCTGCTTCATTTATTTTATTTTATTCAGTTCTAGACGCTTTATTAGTTTAGACTTTTTTCTCTACCTTTTGTCAGCCATACTCAGCTAGCGATTATTATAGAGAGTTAGAAATCGATTTTGAGTGAGATTGGGAAACGGGAGTAGCGATATATAACAGGGATATTGGGCTCTACTTTTCATTTAACCCTGTCCTTTTCCCTTCTTACTTGTGCCAGCAATATATATAGGCACCATTTCATGATATTTATTATTTTCCTTTGTCTCTCTCCTGTCGCTAAATCTATTTAGCTTTGGTTGTAGCGATTGCGCTAATTAGACATTTTGTGACTGTGTTACTATTTTAAATTACCTATTAAAAGTTATATTTTATTTATTCAATATGGATTGCTAACTATGTACCAGTAGACTGTGGGCATAAAGTTTATGTTTCCCACAGTTTTACTTGTACCCTTTTTTTCTCTACTAATTACAGATAGCACAGTATACTAATAGAGATACTTAACATTTCCAGTATTTTAAGCTCCTTATTTCACCTAACCCCTTCCTTCCACAGATGTCATGGCGGCCACAGTATCGCAGTTCCAAGTTCCGGAATGTATATGGCAAGGTGGCGAGTCGAGAGAAATGTTACGACTGTATACCCATCACCAAGAATGTCCATGATAACCACTTCTGTGCTGTAAATGCAAAGTTCTTGGCCATTGTCACCGAGAGTGCAGGAGGAGGTTCATTCCTTGTAATTCCTATTCACCAGGTGAGTGGCATAACGTCTGACTTGGCATATTTCCCATCTATAGGCCATCTCCGTCAATTCCTCTCAATGCAGGCTGACACATACAAAAATTATTTATGGACCATGGATTCTGTCTGCATGATTGCCTAACACAAACAATAGAGAGACATGTGATGAAGGCTGGGGAAAAGACTTTGTTAAAATAAGGGCTGAATAGGGCACTTTTGTGAATTCTAGTCCATGTCTCAAGAAAATTAGCAGTGCCACTCTGTGCTTGTCCCCATGTTCCTTTAGTATTCATTAATCTGAAAGACAAAAGCTGCTTATATGTGTTTAAGGACCCCGTAATAACCAAATGGGAGCTTCAGGGTCCCCCATCTTCCATTACTTCTTGAGGAATGGGTTTATGGTTCATATACAGAGTGGCGGCCTTGGCATAACCCTGCTCAACAACCTCCTAATAAATACATCAGGTGCCAAGTTCTCCTCATACAAGAGTATTCATAATTTTTAATTTTGTTTTATTCCCAAATAAATTATCTTCTATTCTAGGAACTTTTGACATTTTAGGGTTAATTTTAATGTTTACCTTCTTTCATTGGTGGGGGACATTATCAAAATTATTATTAAAAACACCTAAAGCACTTCAGCTTGCTAATGTCATTTATGTGTGTTGAATCTGCCCTCTTTTTTTTTTCCATTTTACGAAATGTGCAGATTTCAATAGAAATTGTCACTTTTATAAATTAACCTTGTTACAACCCCTACTAGCTGTCAGTCATGCAACCAGTCCTGTTACTTCCTGGTTTGGTTAGCTCTGTGGAGGCAGCAATTGCTCAGAGCAACTGCCTTGCAAAGATTTCTCATTAAGCTGTGTTGGTAAGTCTGTAATTAGACAGTCACAGACAGTCTGGGCTGGGGAAGAAGGGGAGGGTTTGCAAAGGCAGCAGACAAGAGATTTGTAGCTTTTGCAATATGTTTTCTATATACCCTCTATGAAATTTTTTGGGGGATATTTCTACTCAATAGAGATTTACAAAAACATTTTTTCTTTACTTGGGCAGTGGAGTGTCTGTTTAAATCTGGAAATCGGGAACATTTGAGCTTTAGTATAACAGCCCCATTCCACAATTTCTTATCTTTATGTTAATAAACTCACACCTATCATGTATGCTGGATTCTATCATTGTTCTATTATTGTTAGTATGGAATAGCAGGGACCTCTGTACTTGTTATCAATCCACACATCAAGGAAGGCATAAGGAGCATCCAAGGACATGTATGGAAGATGGGGGACCCATGTATGCAATGTAATGTATATCAGTGCCAATATATAATTTCATCAAATATATAAACTACACAAAAAAGCTTGCACATAATAAATAGGAAGGGGCTGTGCCAATCTCCCTATCTAGTTTGGGTGTTGTCTGTGTGGTGTTGAACATTAAATATTCACAACCCAGCGACCTATATAATCCAATCTCACATCCAGTGCTCTGTGAGTGAATATTAACTATGACATGCTACAGAGATCACATCCTGAAAATACAAGTGATTCCCTCCTGATCTGACATGCTGCATCCTATAATGATATTAAATACGCTCACTGAATTAGAAATGAGGCGCTAATTTAAAAACAGATGACATAGCAAATTATGATCACTGCTCAATCTTATAAATACAGGAATATGATTCAAACAGCTATTGATTTTAGCACTCCATTTTGTGGACTACATCTTCCATAATGCTCTTACAGCCATGATGTTGTTATCAGGGGAGACGTAGTCCACAATATCTGGAGTGCTGAAGGTTGCCTAGTGGTTATCATGCTTACAGTTCCCCTTTAATGATCCTTTGTGTCAGCAGTGTGTCTGTGTGTAGAGGTGATTCCCATTTTCCCGATATATATGAGTCGAGTCATGTCAAAGTCACGTAAATACATACAGATAATGATAGAAATGTCTATTCAGCCAATTAACTCAGGTCTATGTTTACTTTTCACATCTCAAGGATTCTGCCAGATCCAGATAAATTGCAATTGGTTGCCCAAAAGGTAGATCCCCAGATGTTGAAGAACTACCACTCCCATGATGCTTTGCATGCCTTTGGAATGGCAAAGCATCATGGAAGCTGTAGTTTTAAAACACCTAGAGATCTACCTTTTGGGCAGCCCTGACATAGACTGTCTTACATATTGTCTGCAATTTATGCTGAAATCACACCAAAACATTCTCATACTCTGGCGATTATTTAATCAGTGGATCTGTCATTATCCTGTTTTTTTAGAGTGCTCTGAATGATATTGATATTGCAGGACACATATCTGGCCATTTACTACATTATAGAATTATTATAAATGACATCACGCTGTAGCAGAGAATGTGCGAGGGAGCATTAGTAGCAGGAGGAGGGAGGAGCTACTGACAGGTGTATCTGTCTGTTCTCCTCCCCCAGGTCTGCATAGCGGGGGGCTTCACCTATGCAATGTTCTGTGCCTCCCCCAGACTGGACGCATTGAGCCCAATCACCCCAAGGTGTGTGGGCACCAGGGCACAGTACTGGATATTAAATGGAACCCTTTCATTGAGAACGTCATCGCTTCCTGCTCTGAAGACACCTCGGTGAGTGACTCTGCATGTCAGCGCTAATTAAATATGTATTACAGGGAAAAGGTACAATGATGTAGATGTGGTACAGAATATTATAAATGTATCCTGTCATGTATCCGCTGACATTTCATGCCGTAAAATCACCATTCTCAGGGTCTCGCTGTTTACATGATCTTTTAAACCTATGGAGGGTAATTATGCCTATCTCCTAATATTTCATAAGCTTTGTGTTAGTGAATGAGAATTTTTTTCATGATAATGTGTAATGTCTCACAGGACCAGGGTAGACTGTACCAGTAGTCCCTTCTTGATTTCAGGGAGCTTGAAAATATATCAAAATGTGTCTATTCCCAAATCTGCGTTTGGGCATCATCTACACATCACAAGCCATCACATCTGAAAGGTTTTTTTCAGACTGTAATGTCAAAACTAAACACTACTTACAATTACACAGTAAGGACATCTGTAAAATGACACAATTAATGCATGATTTTAAGCATAAGTGTAAAGGAATAGTACAAAAAAAGAGCAAACAGTAAAGTCTAAATCTATCAATATATCTATTTTTATCTGTCGATCTATCTATCTATCAAAAAACTGAGAGCACTCATGAGACTAAATATAGTGTCACTTTTATTGTCGTTTCAGTTTCTGTATAAAACTTTCATCAGTCACAATGAAAGTTTTTTTTACGAAACTGGAGCTGACAATTAAATGTTTTATTTATTTAAAGAAGTCCTAGAAGTGCTCTCAGATATTTCTTTTTGTATGTATTGATGCTGTATTAAGCACATTAAGCATAATCTCTTTGAATATTGTGTATACGTGCGAGTGTATATATAATATATAATCCAAAGAGACTTGCACTCAAGCTACAGATGTTTAAAAATCTCAGTCAGTACAGAATCAGTCATATTAACTAAAGATATCTACAAGGCAAAAGATGGAAGATGTAAGGAAGAATAATTTGGAATTTGTTTCCACCTGAAGAACTGTTATTCTTATCTCACTCATTGTATCTTATATTATTGTATAAGTATTGAATAAGTATATTCAATGTAATAGAGCAGCAGGAAATGCTAGCAGAATGCTTGGTTGTATAGGGAGAGGTATTAGCAGTAGAAAGAGGGAAGTGCTCATGCCATTGTACAGAACACTGGTGAGACCTCACTTGGAGTATTGTACACAGTACTGGAGACCGTATCTTCAGAAGGATATTGATACCTTAGAGAGGGTTCAGAGAAGGGCTACTAAACTGGTTCATGGATTGCGGGATAAAACTTACCAGGAAAGGTTAAAGGATCTTAACATGTATAGCTTGGAGGAAAGACGAGACAGGGGGGATATGATAGAAACATTTAAATATATAAAAGGGAATCAACACAGTAAAGGAGGAGACTATATTTAAAAGAAGAAAAACTACCACAACAAGAGGACATAGTCTTAAATTAGAGGGACAAAGGTTTAAAAATAATATCAGGAAGTATTACTTTACTGAGAGGGTAGTGGATGCATGGAATAGCCTTCCAGCTGAAGTGGTAGAGGTTAACACAGTAAAGGAGTTTAAGCATGCGTGGGATAGGCATAAGGCTATCCTAACTATAAGATAAGACTAGGGACTAATGAAAGTATTTAGAAAATTGGGCAGACTAGATGGGCCGAATGGTTCTTATCTGCCGTCACATTCTATGTTTCTATGTTTAATATTTCACAAAATGTAATAAGATAATTGCATCACTTACTGCTTGTATTAGAAACATTTAAATTATCATGAAACAATAATGTGATATTTTCTGTTACTGAATTATTCACTTGGTATAAATTTCATGTATTTCATTATTTGTAACTATGGCAACTAAGCCTGTCTCCTTTGATTGTAATTACCGCTTACAGTGTAAAAGTGGCTGTATTGTTTTTTTTACGTGGAATAATAACATAGAATGTCACGGTAGATAAGAACCATTCGGCCCATCTAGTCTGCCCAATTTTCTAAATACTTTCATTAGTCCCTGGCCTTACCTTATAGTTAGGATAGCCTAATGCCTATCCCACGCATGCTTAAACTCCTTTACTGTATTAACCTCTACCACTTTAGCTGGAAGGCTATTCCATGCATCCACTACCCGCTCAGTAAAGTAATACTTCCTGATATTATTTTTAAACTTTTCCCCCTCTAATTTAAGACTATGTCCTCTTGTTTTGGTAGTTTTTCTTCTTTTAATGTAGTCTACTCCTTTACGTATTTTAATGTTTCTATCATATCCCCGCTATCTCGTCTTTCCTTCAAGCTATATATGTTAAGTAGCCCAGTTTAGTTGCCCTTCTCTGAACTTTTTCCAAAGTATCAATATCCTTCTGAAGATACGGTCTCCAGTACTGTGTACAATACTCCAGGTGAGGTCTTACCAGTGTTCTGTACAATGGCATGAGCACTTCCCTCTTTCTACTGCTAATACCTCTCCCTATACAACCAAGCATTCTGCTAGCATTTCCTGCTGCTCTATTGCATTGTCTGCCTACCTTTAAGTCACGCAACATGTGGACACACCAAAGACCACTCAATCTTCATATACTTATTGTAATCTGTAAGGTTTTCAAAACAAAACAAAGTAGCTCGTGAAGACCTTGCTGTGATGGATTGAAGAGCAGATACAATCTGGCGGGATCCCTGTCCCTGAGTACAGATTCAATATTCATGGAGAGGGATCCCGTAGAAATGTATATTCTTGTCTGATTATGTTGTATTATGTTGTCCTGTTTCTATCATATCATAATTACAAGACCGATCTTGAGGAAACCCTGGGTAATATTTAATCTCTTGATCGGCAATATCCATTCCTCCACTGTGATGAAAGTAATGGCCTTGTACATCATGAAGGGATGCTGGGCATATGGTTGCTGATCATCTAAGAAGGAGTGTGAAGTTGAGTACTGCGAGAAGATGTGGGGAGGCATACAGTGTGGTGTGATGATCCAGTGGGAGAAGTACCACTTTAAAGACATTCAAATGGCATAGGGTGAGACAAGGCCAAATGTTTGGACTTAATCTACGGGGAGAACTAAGTCAGTTATTTGAAGGGCATCCTGTTTTTTCCCAGGACAGATGCTTTGTGAGAATAAACAATAAAAAAGAAAATCCTGCGCACTCCCTTATCCACTAAACAGCAACTTCGGTCTCTCAGATTCTGAATTCTGAATCTGTCAGCACCAAAGTTGCTGTTTAGTGGATAAGAGAGTGCACTGGATTTTCTTTTTTATTGTATAAATTGGCTCCCAGCAGCACCCTATTTATGCATGTTCAGGTGAGTTCAGCCAGCCCCCTGATTTCTCATATATTTTATATATATATATATATATATATATATATATATATATTTGGGAGCAGGGTTGTATTTGCCGCGAGGCAAACAAGGCATTTGCGTAGAGCGCCACTTTCAGGTGGGCAGCAAAAATCGTCGCCCTAAGTGCCTAGGCAAATGCCTTGTTTGTCTCTTACCCCAGGGATAAAATTAATGAGTGTGTGTGTCAGTGAGTGTTTGTGTGTCAGTCAGTCAGTGAGTGTATGTGTGTCAGAAAATATTGGTATTTGTGCGTGTGTGTGGCTTTCAGTGTGTGTTTGTGTATCAGTCAGTCAGTGAGTGTGTGTGGGGCTGTCAATGTGTGTGTGGCTGTCAATGTGTGTGTGTTTGTCTGTCAGTAGCTCAGTGGCTTTGATATGAAGAGGTGGGGCAAATTTAGATTAGGGAGGTGTCTGAATTTAGTTGTGCCTAGGGCAGTACAAACCAGAATACAGTGGCAGTACAAACCAGAATACACCACTGTTTGCGAGTCTAGCCAACTCCATGGTTTTGCACCCCTCCCTGTCACATGTGCCTCATTCCAGGACCCTATTTAGCCTTGTACTGCAGAGAACTCTAGGTGGAATTTCCCCCCCCAAGTAAGTAGCTCATGAAGCAGAAATTAGGCTGTTAGAGTAGGACCTGCCAACGATGGGGTACATTGACGTTGTGGCAGGCCTAAGCAATGTATGATCATGTAATGTAACTAAACCTCCATTATTTTTTGCATAGATTAGGTGTTTTAAAAAACTAACTAAAAATCTGTGGATAAGGGAGTGGATAAGGGAGTGCACTGGATTTCTTTTTTATTGTATAAATTGGCTCCCAGCAGCACCTTATTTATGCATGTTCAGGTGAGTGCAGCCAGCCCCCTTGTGAGCATAAACTATGCACAAAACTTGTGGCCTCATCTCACACTCATACTCACTCATAGGAACAGCAATTGTGATGCTCTACATTTAACATCCTGCACTAACTCCTACAACGCCAAGGCCTCATCTCATACTCACTCATAGGAACTGCGATTGTGATGCTCTGCATTTTTTTTCTCTCACCACTAAAGGGTTCTCTCTACCTCTTGTATTTGTCTGTGTATATTGTACGTTCTCCACTAATTGTACAGCGCTGCGGAATCTGTTGGCGCTTTAGAAATACTAGAATATAATTCAGTAATAAAAAATAAATAAGTGACAGCGACAAAGCTGATACAACATATAAAAGAAACCTTAGACTGCTGATTTTACCCTTCAGGTTCGAGTGTGGGAAATCCCAGATGGTGGACTCAAGCGAAACATGACAGAAGCCGTACTTGAACTGTATGGACACAGTCGAAGAGTGGGGTTGATAGAATGGCACCCCACAGCAAACAATATACTGTTTAGTGCTGGATATGACTACAAGGTTAGTAAGAAGATATGTTGTTTAGCTTGAAACACGGCATAAGCTATTTAAATACCGATTTCCAGCTAGGGTGAAGAAAGTGACAAACAGAAAATATATACATGAACAGGTTATCCATATTGTAAAATTATATTCCCCAAAGGGCCCCATAACTGTTACATCACATATTGTAAGTACTGTTTTACTGAATGCTTCTGTTTGAATTCCAATTAAAAAGGGGTGATGATTTATATTCCAAATGCAGGTGTGAATTCATCTAACATTCATCCAGTCCCTTCAAGCGGTGTTACATAACTGTTTAATGGGTAGTGCGGAATGCATCAGGTAGCATGCTGGCAGCAGTCTAAAGATAATGTTTCAACATTCTAATATAAAACTTTATTTCCTGCACTCCATACTGGAAACTTATATACCTGCATTTGCACTTATATATATATATATACACTTTTCTCTTTCCATAGATTCTAATCTGGAACCTAGCTATTGGAGAGGCAGTGAAGATGATAGACTGTCACACAGATGTTATCCTTTGCATTTCATTTAACACAGATGGGAGTCTCTTGGCCACTACTTGTAAGGACAAGAAGTTACGTGTGTTGGAACCTCGTTCAGGGAAGGTTCTGCAGGTAAGGGGACACAGTGAACCACTTTAAATCTCCATAAACTGTTAAACTCTTCTGTATGCACACATTTTGATGTTAGTCTTACATTTTACAGCCTTCCACACTCACATACCTATTGCACCCGTATGAACTCATCTTATAATACCCTTCCACTCACATTGCATTCACCCTACTTCCTTTATGCACATCTCAGTCTCACATTTGTATATGTCCCACTCTTACCAAACAAAATCCGTTGCAAACTAGATATTTTTCTGTCTCACTTTTTAGGAAGCCAGCTGCAAGAATCACAAGGTGATGCGCGTTGTCTTCTTGGGGGATATGAATCGTCTGCTCACAACAGGGTTCTCCAGGTGGAACACAAGGCAAATTGCACTGTGGGACCAGGTGAAGAATAGTGTGCCAGTCATGGGACTATTATCTCCTGTATTATTGTATGGGGATGAGACTCTTAAATGTACTTAAACACATAGTAATACAACAGATACCATAAACTAGATCTCACATACGTTAAATAACCCAATGCAGCAATGCAATACATAATTGTCCCACCAAAGGCCTACCATATTCCTTGTGTCATATTTATGCTGTACTTTATTCAGACAGAGAATGGCAAGTTATGTTGACCTCCAAATTGGTTTCCATGATATTAAAAGCAGAGGCCTATCAGGTTCTACTAAATGCAAAAGATAATGATACTGCACTCAGAAAATTCTGAATAAAGTTCATTACAGAATTTAATAATCATTAATTAATTGAATGAAATTCATTAGTTGTGAAATACTACAAAGTTAGAAAAAATTAATGATATATACACACACTTAAATTGATAATATATACAAGTTGATATGAACCAATATAGTTTGGTAGAAGCACTATATTGTGAATCTACTATTGTTACTCCATGTTAATTAAAGAGAGTCCCTGACCACATCAAGAAGTTAAGTACTAAGTTGTTGTGTCTGGAAGTCCAAACAGATATATCATCCAGGAGAGTAGGGTTAATAAAAAAGAGAAAAAAGTAAAAAATGAAAAAAATATATACAAAAAAAGGAAAAAAAGAAAAAAATGGAAAAATTAAGTATATACAGTCCCAGTGTGTACACACTATGATGTAATATGGATGGATCTCACCAGTGGAGGAAAAGGGTCCAATAGTCCAGTTCTTTGTATCTCTTAATGTGTTGGTGAAATCCCTGTAGTTGATTATTCTTTCTTGGTTTTCAAATAAAGTATAAAAAGAGGTTCCCCACTTGTCCTGGAGGTATTTGAATGAAATTTCTTGTCAGCTGGTCCTGGGTCTCATAAACGGGCTGCGCGCTCGGGATCTACATGTATCCCTTCAATGGCCCTGTCGGAGGAAACAGTTAGTGAAAGTCACATACTTTTATGCAGTTCGGTGCGCCCGCATTAATGCGTGGGTCGCGCCTAGATGACGTCATGACGCTCGCGTCCGTGAGTCGCATCTAAATGACGTCATGACGCACACGTCCGGTATCCATGCCCGACGTGTGCCGTTTAATTATGTAAATATCAACATCCCTATGTAGTTGTATGTGTTGAAAATTACTTGTGAAAGTCCATTGCATGCAAAATTTGACAATGTACATTTACACATACAATCCTTTACCATAGTCTGCATGCATGGAAAAAAGCAAGTTCCCTAATACATATTTACCTAGGGAAGAGCTGTGCATATTGAAACAAAAAATCATAAAATCATATTAACATAGAGTCCTAAGATAATTAATTGTTATGATAGGATTCTTCACAAATAAAGGAATACTGATCATATTAGAATATACTCAAGAGTTAAAGGCATATTTTATACCTGGTTATTCTGGTCAAGAAAAAGCTACTGATCATTTTATGCAAAGAGAGCTAAGATGATTGAAATAAAAAAGTGTGACTCAGACTGGGTCTTTACTTTTGTATTTTGAAGTATATAAATCACTAAACCTAAAAATTGAGGTTCTGGTCTGCAAGATGGAATCAGGTTCTACTGACACTTTCCACTACAGAGGTTTGTGTTTTGTGGTTGCATGATGCTGGCTTATGAGTAAAATATGTTTGTGTCATCTACCCACCTTTATGCAGGAGGACTTGTCCGTGCCATTGATAGATGATGAAGTAGATGGGTTGTCAGGGCTGCTTTTCCCATTTTATGACATGGACACTCACATGCTTTACCTGGCTGGAAAGGTAAGCTAATTACACGCCCTATAAGAAAACTCAAGATATTTATTTTACTTGAAGAAAAACTTATGTCTAACTACCTATCCTTCCATGCATCCCTGTTATTATCAAAAGAAAACAACTAAAAATGTGATTTCACTTACTGCCATAAAAATAGAAGCAAAATCTAATATTTAGCTCAACCAAAATAATCATACCTGAAAAATATTGGTTCTCTCATTATACTAAATGATACACTTTCTATAATCCAGTGGTACTCATAGTAGCAGTGTTACCCAGGATATTCACGATGGATGATCCTATTGACAATATGTTTAATTGTGAGCATGTGTGGGCATCTTCAGACACTTTTCTAGTAGTGTTGCAAAAATGAAATCATAGGGAGACGTTTAGGGCCAGATATACATTCAAAGCATCAATAGCCACAAGTATTAAATAACTCAATTTGTCCATGTGCCCCCACTCTAAACAAAATATGGGAACATGAGCTTATTGTCATGCTACGGGAGAGATAATTGGTCTCTGGAATATGTAGATATATAGAAAGATTCTTATGGCAAATAATCATGAGCAGGCAGTCTACTCTGTCCATTTCCTCTCTAAAAGCAGTTAATGTTCTTGCCTTTGTTTCCTGTTGATGAAAGCAGGATGTCTATTAACAGTCATCATCACATGAAACGCATTTTAAAGCAGTTCATAGATAGATGATTTTTGAACACCAGAGCTCCCACTAATTAGACATTTTTAAACTCCAAATCCTACAGCCTTTTATTTCAGTACAGTATATAAAATGTAGTAGTGCTTACAGTAATAAATCAATATACATGGAATAGAAATCCATTGCATCTGCATGTTAGTTACAGGGTTACAAACCAAAGCGAGAGTTCAAATATGAATTTCAAATTCAAGGTAAAAATAGTTGAACTGAAAACATTCTCTAAGTCAGCTATGCTTCCAGTTTTGCTTCTTTGGCCTTACGTTTGAAATACACTTTGGTGAATAACCCTGTTAGGGCAGCAATCACAACTATTTGGTACAGTTGCACTACGGTCCCTATTTTTCAGAATATAATAACTAATTAACTTTCTATTCTAGGGAAGACCTTGCTCTTACTATACTACTTGTATATTTAATAGGAAACTACAATCTAATCAGGAAAGTCTCATTGATGATACATTGTTATTAGCATTTATATGGAGCCAACGTATTCCGCAGCACTCTACAATTATAAAATGGCGATATTTAATAAGAAGTACATTACATATATAACAGAGACAAGAGATGAGGAAGTCCTTGCTCAAACAACACACAAGAGAAAATAACAACATACCAGAGGGGATAGGGATTGATGGATACCTGTGTTGAAATAAGCTAGTAAAAGCAATTTGTGGAAGAACTGAACAGTGGCAGGAGAGGCAGTGAGGTGGGCTATGAAGTCGTGGGAACTGATGAGAGCAGTTAAAGGGGAAAAGAATCACCCAGGAAGATAGTAGGCTTTCATAAAGAGGTGTGTTTTCAGTGACTTCTTAAAGGATCACTTTAGAGTAATACAATACATGTATTCCTGACCCTATAGTGTTAAAACCACCATTTAGGTGGCTTGCGTCCCTGGCCTTGCCCCTGATCCGCCTCCTTGCTGACATAATCTGAATCTATGATTTCAGCCAATCCAATACTTTCCTAAATGATTGGCTGAAATCGACAAGAAGGCAGGATGGGGGCGGGACCAAACACCTGCTTGGCCAAACAGCACCTCCTCATAGAGATGCATTGAATTATTGCATCTCTATGAGGAAACTTCAGTGTCTCCATGCAGAGCGCGAAGACGCTGAACGGTAGAGCTGCACACTGTGCAGCATTGCCGTAGGAAGCACCTCTAGTAGCCATCTGAGGAGTGGCCACTGGAGGTGTCCCTAGGGGGCAAAGTAAACACTGCCTTTTCACTGTAAAGATAGTGTTTACATGAAATTACCTGCAGGGAATGATTATTCTCATCAGAACAACTACAAAAAGCTGTACTTGCTCTGGTGACGATAGTGTCCCTTTAAAGCAGGGGACAACTTTAGGCATAATTAGTAATTATGGTGCAATATTCTAAAAGTGCCAAGTGGTCACCATACAACATGCCACTACAGTCTTGTCTGTGGACTTACCTGCGTTTATCAATCTTTTTCCCATGCAAGGGAGACGGGAACATTCGATATTACGAGATAACAACAGAGAAGCCATTCCTGACGTACTTAATGGAATTTCGTTCTCCGGCACCCCAAAAAGGGCTTGGTGAGACTCATATTTAGAAAATATTGACAAATTAATATTATTGAAAGTGAGAGTTCATCTTTACATGCTGAATTGGGTTGTAGACTGCCTCATTCCACATGTGTAAGGCAAGATCTGCAAGCAACACCTTCTTTCTAGTTATTTTATGCAATTACGCCTCCTGTACAGATTAGGAACAGTTCGAAAATGCATCAAGCACCTGATTATGCGATCTATTTTTAGGGGCGATGCCAAAGCATGGGTTGGACGTCTCACAATGCGAAATATTCAGGTTTTACAAATTGATCACCTTGAAGAATCAAATAGAACCAATCTCCATGATAGTGCCTAGGAGGGTAAGTTTTTCACAGACAGGAGTAGTTACATAAGCCATAAGACCTATAAAGATGAAAGGGCACTCAAAGATAAAAGACTGTATCCCTTAAAACACCTTCCAGTAAATAAAAGCCCAAAAAAGTTAGCTGCGCACTGTCCCAAATTCCTATGTACATTTAAATAACTGAAAGTTTTTAGTATCACTCCAAAGGCCATTAAAGTGTAAGCCCACCTGCCACATCAAGGGAAAACATCTAAAGTGAGTCCTACACTAATTACCTTGCTGGGTTTTTTTGTTTGTTTTTTATTACCTGCTGAAAATGGCAAGGTAATTTACTAGTGTAGGACTGTCACGGGAGTCGTATCCCAACACGCAAAAAGAGTGGAAATCAACAAAAGGTCCGAAAGACGTATTACAGAGCCTTAGATTGGCCGGATTTAATGTATTAAATATAGCGAGAAACAAGGTTAGGGTAAGTCAAGGTCAGGTATGCAGAAATACACACAGTATACACAAAGCCGGGTCAGGATACCAGAAAATCACATGTCAAATATGAAGCCAGGTCAGGCTACGAGAAATCACAAGTCAAATACGAAGCCTGGAGAGGATACGAGAAATCACAAGTCAAAATACGAAGCCGAGGTCAATAACAGGACTACAACAAGAGAGACTTCTATATAGCACTAAAGTGTATCAGCACAGAAATCACAATAGAGCAATGAGTAAGGACTAGAACAAGCCTTAAAGGACCACTATAGTGCCAGGAAAACATACTCGTTTTCCTGGCACTATAGTGCCCTGAGGGTGCCCCCACCCTCAGGGTCCCCCTCCCGCCCAGCTCTGGGGAGAGGAAAGGGGTAAAAACTTACCTTTTTCCAGCGCTGGGCGGGGAGCTCTCCTCCTCCGATACTCCCACTCGGTTAGCTGCGCGCGCATTCAGCCGGTCGCATAGAAAAGCATTTACAATGCTTTCCTATGGACTCTTGCGTGCTCTCACTGTGATTTTCACAGTGAGAATCACGCAAGCGCCTCTAGCGGCTGTCAATGAGACAGCCGCTAGAGGAATTGGAGGAAGGATTAACCCATTTGTAAACATAGCAGTTTCTCTGAAACTGCTAGGTTTATAAAAAAATGGGTTAATCCTAGCTGGACCTGGCACCCAGAGCACTTGGTAAGCTGAAGTGGTCTGGGTGCCTAGAGTGGTCCTTTAAATAGGTTCAAAAGAGTTCCCATTGGTCCACGTCATCTTTGTGACCCAAAACAGCATGGAGTCGCGTTCCTTTAAGGGTGTGATGTCATGGGAATTTAATTATTTAAGGTGATGCGGTTCGGCCCGCAAAACAGCAGAGGGACAAAAGGTCTGAGGACTGCAGTAGTGGGGCCATGCGGTGCATTCTGCCCTTGTGGCCCAAGGAGAGGAACGGTAAGTTTGTGACAAGGACTCAGTTAAGAGGTTTGCTTTGATATGGCAATTGAACTTACACTTTAGACACAACTGGGTAATCCCTAAATCCTGGACCAGTAGGGATGCCTTGAGAACTGGATTGGGAACCACTCCTGTAGATGTTATCACTGAAGAAAAAATAATGATTTCCGGCAAGACACTAAGAATATACAAATGTATTCAACTAGTAAAATAGTGCGGAATACCGGATCATATTGTAATAATAATTAAGAACTTATTGTTGATCTTCACACGTTTCTAAAACATTATTAAAACAATTATTCAATATATACTTTACATAAATGAAAGTATAAAATCAGTAGAACAATAATTTTACAGACAATTAACAGTATTTTCTTGTTACAGTCGGAAACATACCAGGAAGATATATACCCGATGACTCAAGGAATGGAACCAGCAATGACTGCTGATGAGTGGCTAAGTGGCATTAATAGAGGTGGAGTGTTGAAGACACAAGTGTTAGGGGTGGGGGGAGGCTTGGATATTCCAGCTAGATAGTGGGCACTAACTGACCATAGCAATTCAACGGGGGTTTAAATCTAATCATTGGGTGTTTGCTTATAAATATTTTCTTATTTCTCACATATTCCTTGATTGAATAATCTGTGTAATGGCTTTGTCTCAGCTGTATATTCAATTCCAATAGCACACATCAAACAATTGCTAATCTCAGTTTTCTGCAGGCCCAGTCCTGATGAGCTTGAAGGAGGGATATCAGAAGGAGTGTAAAGCCACTTTCAAAGCACCAGTGCGGGACAAGAAGAGCTTAGTGGTCAATGGAATTGACCTATTGGAGAATGTCCCACCTAGGACAGAGAATGAAGTATGTATTATGTTCCACATATTCAAGCAGTTGTCTGAACACAGTGCACTGCACTGCAGGGACCACCATTATTTCATATAGTAAACATTCTGTAACCAAAGCTCATTGTCTGAACATATTTGGGGTTATTTATAAAAAGTGTGGAGTTCACTTTTCACACTGCCATTCTGGCGCTTATCCGTTCTCCTTTGTATTACCTAATTTGCACCAAAATATTTCTTGCTCTGTCTATTCTGTCATTTTATCTTCCTTTTTCATCTTTTATTTTTTGGTTCTGAAATTTGTCTCTTCTTGTGAATAAGAAAAGAGATGACAAAGTACACCTTTTCTTTTCAACATTTTTTTGGGGGGCAGGTTTTCTGAGACAGGTAAGCAGCTTGCAGGATTATAATTGACAAAAAGGTATAAAAAAAAATTGTTTCAATTACGAAATGTGTTTTTATTTCCTAGTCATTTTACTCAATTGCCTTATATTTTTTAATGTAATAAATTATACAAAAAGGAGAAAAAAGTGAAAGAGGTGTCAAGAGTGTCAGAAAGGCACATTTCGGCACTTTACAGAAAAGATACCAATGGATAAAGGTAGGAGTAACAGTAATATAAGTAAGAAAATAGCACATGCTCAAAAAAATGGGGTAAATACAAAAACAAATGTGACACTTTTTATACATAACCCCTGTTCAAAACACTGCTTCACTCAGTGCACAGAGCATGAGACAGACATTAGAGTTCACATTTTCCATGTACATTTAATGCCTATGCTGCTGATTCTGCTCTCCCTCTACCCACGTACCTGTCCCTTGCAGTTGCTACGCATGTTCTTCCGGCAGCAGGATGAAATCCGACGTCTGAAGGAGCAACTGGCTCAGAGAGACCTCCTCATCAGACAGCTGGAATTGGAGCTCAGAAACCTGAGGAACAATCCCAAGGACAGCTAGCTGCCTTTATGTTTCCCATGTAAACCACACACTGTCCAAAGGACAGTTAACTGCCCAATGTATAATTCCTGGGGTATATGTATATAAATATACTAACACCCTTGTAATGCCTTTCCCTGGCACACTGGGAAACTATGTATAGATCTGAGCTAATTGCACCACTGCCCTATGCATATTTAGCTAAGGTCCTGACACAAACATCTACCACATTGTTCCCCAATGCAGGAGCTAAATGTGGCTAGTACCAAACCTTTTCAGCCTCTCTCATTGATGTACATTAAGGCCTGGATTTGCCTTGTAAGACAGTTACCTTTCCCCAAGGGTATACACACCACACACACATATATATATATATATATCCATCCATAGTGGGAAGGATACATGACAAAGGTTGCAATTTAAAAAAGAGTTTACTAGCTCATTAGACCAAGAGGATCTGTGGATACTCAAATATATTTTTCTTCTACATAACTGATCTATACACATATTAATATGGAGGTCTAAACAACAGTCGTAATTATTTGACTGAAGAAAGCCATAACTAACTGTGCCGAACGTATGGTATGAGCTCTCAATAATAAGGCACTAGAGAGCTCCTGCTTCCACTCTTACTTATTATTTTATCACCTTTTCTTTTCTTGTACGGTTACCGGCACATTTTCATGTGTTTTTGTTCACAATGGAGCACTCTGTGTGTGAGATCAGGCAGGTCACTTTCTTGCTCATTTTCCTTCTATTTATTGCTAACTGTTATTTCCTATGCAAAATGGGACATTAAAATCATTAACTCAAACTATGGAGGAATGGTTATTAATAAGGCATTTCATTTGTCAGTTACATAGATTACAGATCAACATTTTACACAATGCAGATGGTTGAACAACTGTGTATCACAAACAAACAAGGAAAGTGTATGAATGATTAAAATAGTCTATGAATGGGTAAAATGTTTACCATGCCACATTTATCGAGTCATACATAGTTCAGCTGCACTGTGTTTGACCCTGTAAATATGGAGTGCTGATCATTTTACCAGGGTGTGCTGTACTATTCTATTTATTGACAGAATTTATTCACTGGACCAAGTGTCTTGCACCCCTTTAGGTACATATGCTCGATACATTTTTACTTTGGGAGCAACAAAAATGTCTAAAAATGGTTTAAAATAAATATGTCAGGTTTCTTTTAAATATGGTGAAACTTATCAGAAACTCAACTCCAGGAGAAGAACTAGAACGGCGACAAATCTTTGCACATTGTATTTACATGGTAAAAACCTAATACCTAATTTTATAATGAATTAATTTTTTAATTATAGGTTTGGTTTTAGCTGAAACGAATAGCTATTCCGATCTATTTGATAAATCAGTTTTTCATACCTACTTTAAAAAATTAGGCAGATCACAACTGTTAACATTTCTAAATGTCTTTTTTTTTATAATTACTTATTTGCAAACACAGCGGACTGAGTTTTAAGTAAAATTAAACAACAGAAAAGGAGGAGACAAGAAGTAATGAGAATAACTAATAGGGAACGCAAAGGCATAAACCATGGGTTTAGTATCTTGATGACGATAAGAGTGGGATCATACACTGAGGATGTCAACCTATCCATATTAAATGAATGAGAAAACTACAAAGAAGCTATTAAACAGAATTAATAATAAAAACAATTAATAATTTAAAAAAAATGTTTTAAATATACTTTGGCTTTCCAAGTGCTACCCAGTGCTAGTGGTTTTTCATCAATAAACACCAGGGCCATCTTAGCAAGGGTTATAAACTTACACAAACTTTAGGATTGATAGTGGCATGTTAAAACAGGTATTTTAATGTTTAAAGGAGCACTCCCATCACCATATCCAGCACAGTTCGCTGGAGTGGTTATGCTGCCAAGAGTGCCCTGGTGCCCTTTAATTATGTTTTTAGTAGATTCAATTACAAGTGCCTTAAAGGACCACTATAGTGCCAGGAAAACATACTCGTTTTCCTGGCACTATAGTGCCCTGAGGGTGCCCCCACACTCAGGGACCCCCTCCCGCCCGGCTCTGGAAAGGGGTAAAAACTTACCTTTTTCCAGCGCTGGGCGGGGAGCTCTCCTCCTCGTCGACTGAATGCGCACGCGCGGCAATAGCTGCGCGCGCATTCAGCCGGTCACATAGGAAAGCATTCTCAATGCTTTCCTATGGACGCTGGCATGCTCTCACTGTGAAAATCACAGTGAGAAGCACGCAAGCGCCTCTAGTGGCTGTCAATGAGACAGCCACTAGAGGAAATAGGGGAAGGCTTAACCCATTGATAAACATAGCAGTTTCTGTGAAACTGCTATGTTTATTAAAAAATGGGTTAAGCCTAGCTGGACCTGGCACCCAGACCACTTCATTAAGCTGAAGTGGTCTGGGTGCCTAGAGTGGTCCTTTAATACTATGAATTTGCATTTACTTTGTAGTTTGAATGATAAACTTATATCCTGACATCTTGCAATCAGAAAGCTATGAAGGGCCGAAAATATGCTGGGTAATAAATTAAAATATGCACCTGTGATAGGCTTAAAGGTTTTCAATAATATGTATACTTATCTCCTATCATATTTAGAGTTGAGTGAGGTGTAAAAACAAATGAGTGCAGAAAGCCATTTTATCTTGCAATTACGTGCCCCCATCTTAGTTCCCTGTCAATCATTGCTATAAGCTCAGTCTTTTGAACCTGGTAGTCAACATACAAAAATCATACTGAGAAGAAGAAATTAAACAATGGATGAGGTTTATCAAAGTGTTGTTATAGAAGGTGATTAACATATAGAGATTAATGCACAAGCTTGCAAGGGAGTAATCCCACCAGGGTGAACTAGAAAGGAAAGGCAAATCCCCAGAATTTCACAGGTAAATATATTCAAAGTAAGGTCTAGTTACCAGTGTGGTACCTCAGGGCAGGGGCGTACCTAGGGCATGTGGCACCCGGGGCGGGTCCTGGGTTTGGCACCCCACCCCCTTGTCCCCCCCTTCTCCAAAAACAAAAAAACTAAAAAAAAACTAAAAAAAAATTAAAATGTGTTATATTTCTTAATTTTTTTTAAAAATGTATTGAACAAATTTGTAAACTTTTTAAAACCCCTGCCCCCCTCTACAAAATCCCTGCACCCCCTCACACACCGTTACAGGCAGACAGTCACAAGCAGACAGTCACACTCACACAGTCACATGCAGACAGTCACAAATATAGTCACAGGCAGTAATACACACAGTTACAGGTAGAGAGTTACACACACACAGTCAGTTACAAGCAGTTACACACAGACAGTCACATATACACAGTCACACACACGGTCACAGGCAGACAGTCAAACACATAGTTACAGCCACACACACACGGTTACAGGCAGTTACACACACAGTCAGTTACAGGCAGTCACACACAAAGTTACATGCAGACAGTCACAAGCAGTCACGCACAAAGTTACATGCAGACAGTCACAGGCAGACTGTAACACACAGTTACAGGCAGCATCACACAGTAACAGGCAGACTGTCACACACAGTCACAGGCAGTTACACACACACAGTTACAGGCATGCAGTCACACACACACACAGTTACACACACGCACACACAGTTACAGGCAAACAGTTACATACACACACAGTTACAGGCAGACAGTTACACACACACACACAGTTACAGGCAGACAGTTACACACACACACACACACGCAGTTACAGGCAGACAGTGTTACACACACACACACAGTTACAGACAGTTACACACTCACACACACACAGTTACAGCCAGACAGTTACACACACACACAGTTACAGGCAGACAGTTACACACACACACACAAACACACACACAGTTTCAGGCAGTTACACACACAGAGTTTCAGGCAGTTACACACACACACACACACAGTTTCAGGCAGTTACACACACACAGTGGCGTACATACCAGGGTCGCAGGGGTCGCGGCTGCGACCGGGCCCGGCCCACCAGGGGGCCCGGCCGCCCCTGCGACCCGGTATGTACCCACAGGGCCAGCCTCTTCCCCTGGGGGCCCCAGGAGCCGACCACCCCAGGGCCCCCCTGAGGCTGGCCCTGCTGATACTCGGTGGCCGGTCGGGCAGGCAGGCGGGCGCGCGAGGGAGCACTCAGTGCTTCCTCTTCAGCTCCCTCGCGCACCGCAATGATACCGGAGCCGGAAGATGACGTCATCTTCCGGCTCCGGCATCCCTATGCGGCACGCGAGGGAGCTGAAGAGGAAGCACTGAGTGCTCTCTCGCGCGCCCGCCTGCCTGCCCGACCGGCCACCCGCCCAGCAGCACCACTGGACCCCAGCACTTCAAAGGGTAAGGAGGCTGGGGGGGATTACATTTAAAAAAAAAAACCAACAAAAAAATCATGTGTTAGTGTGAGTGTTAGTGTGTGTGTGTGTGAGTTTTAGAGTGAGTGAGTGTTAGAGTGAGTGTTAGTGTGTGTCAGTGTGTGTGTTACTGTGTGTGTCTTACTGAGTGTGTGTGTGTGTTAGTGAGTCTGTTTGATGTCTGTTAGTGAGTGTGTGTTTGTCAATGAGAGTGTATGTTTTGTAAGTGAGTGTGTATGTATGTCTGTCGCTGACTGTGTCTTTGTCAGTAAATGTGTGTGTCTGTTAGCTAGTGTGTATGCGTCTGTAAGTGTGTGTGTCTTCAGCACTTACCTTTCTCCAGCGCCGGACTCCCTTGGCACTGAGGATCCCTCAGCCTCTCAGCTCCGAATGCGACCGCGCACGCATTCAAACCGCCCATAGAAAGCATTACTCAATGCTTTCCTATGGACGTTCAGTGTGCTCCTCTAGCGGCTGTCAGTGAGACAGCCACTAGAGGCTGGATTAACCCTCAGTGAAACATAGCAGTTTCTCTGAAACTGCTATGTTTTCAGCTGCAGGGTTAAAACTAGAGGGACCTGACACCCAGACAACTTCATTGAGCTGATGTGATCTTTTAAAGGACCACTATAGTGCCAGGAAAACATACTATAGTGCCCTGAGGGTGCCCCCACCCTCAGGGACCCCCTCCTGCCCGGCTCTGGAAAGGGGTAAAACTTACCTTTTTCCAGCGCTGGGCGGAGAGCTCTCCTCCTCCAATCCTCCTCTTCTCCTCCCTGTCGGCTGTATGCGCACGCGCGGCAAGAGCTGTGCGCGCATTCAGCCTGTCACATAGGAAAGCATTCATAATGCTTTCCTATGGACGCTGGCGTGCTCTCACTGTGAAAATCACAATGAGAAGCACGCAAGCGCCTCTAGCGGCTGTCATTGGGACAGCCACTAGAGGAAATAGGGGAAGGCTTAACCCATTCATAAACACAGCAGTTTCTCTGAAACTGCTATGTTTATGAAAAAATGGGTTAACCCTAGCTGGACCTGGCACCCAGACCACTTCATTAAGCTGAAGTGGTCTGGGTGCCTAGAGTGGTCCTTTAAGTGTGTGTGCATCTGCATGCACTGGCGTACATACCGGGGTCGCAGCCCTGTAACCCCACCAGGTGCCCACCGCCATGTGTTATGCCCCGCCGCTGCTGGGGGGGGGGTGGAGGCCACGGATCAATTTTCGCACCGGGGCCCCATGGGTCATGTGTATGCCACTGCACACACACACACACACACACACACACATTCTTATACTTACAGACAGTGTGGGCTGGAGGAGTGGATTCCCTGGCCTGAAGTCCTTCCCTGGCTGGAGGTGGAGGTGCAGGGATTTCTTCTTGCTGCACCTCCATGTGCAGCATTAAAAGCAGCAGGTAAGGGCCGTATTAAGCCCAGCCCCACTCGTGATTAGGCTCCACCCCTGAACGGCCATAGCCTCACCCCCTTCTTCCTCCTGTGCGGCCAGTTCATCTTGCTGGTCTCTGCATGTGAGCTGTGTGACACCCCAGCTGCCATGGGGCACAGCTCACACAGCCCCCTCCAGCCCCAAGACCAGGGTCAAGGCGCCCCCCTACCAGGTGGCACCCGGGGCGGACCGCCCCCTCCACCCACCCCTTAGTCCGCCACTGCCTCAGGGATCTGTACTTGGACCCATTCTCTTTAATATTTTTATTAGTGATATTGCAGAAGGTCTTGATGGTAAGGTATGTCTTTTTGCTGATGATACTAAGATATGTAACAGGGTTGATGTTCCAGGAGGGATAAGCCAAATGGCAAATGATTTAGGTAAACTAGAAATATGGTCAGAGTTGTGGCCACTGACATTTAATGTGGATAAGTGCAAGATTATGCCTCTTGGACGTAAAAACCAAAGGGCAAGGTACAGAATATTTGACAGAGTCCTAACCTTAACATCTGAGGAAAGGGATTTAGGGGTGATTATTTCTGATGACTTAAATGTAGGCAGACAATGTAATAGAGCAGCAGGAAATAGAATGCTTGGTTGTATAGGGAGAGGTATTAGCAATAGAAAGAGGGAAGTTCGGGGGCGGAGCCTGGCTACAGAGCTGTACAGACGTGTACTGCATGAGCTCCTGTGGCTGGTACACTAAACTTGATGAAAATAGAGAGCCAAATACTTACCGGGCTGGAAAGCAACACCAAACCTGTTCCTGACATGTCGGCGGTTCCGGGGATACCTCTTGCAGGTCTCTCCTCCACGGGCAAATCCACCTTGAGGCTTTGCGGCCTACCAGTGACCAGACCGAGGAGAGACGGCCGTTCTCCTACGGCTTCAACTGGCCGTAGGAGATGGGGTTATCCCAGTCCTCCCAGGCATGCACAACTCAACCGGGCAGCCGGCACCTGCTACATGCTACCGGCAACCACGAGCTCCAGGGGCGCCGAAGATGGCGGACAAACGCAGCTCAATCACCACAACGTACTCCATGGAGAGGACACTCCAACAACTGGACGAGCTGTTTGCCCGATTCTGGGCTAAGCTAGACAAGCACACAGCAACAGCCTCAAAGAGGAGCCCCCAGAGGGGCGCTGGTCAAGGAATGGAAGGCTCACAAATAGGCGCAAAACGCACCCGGACACGCTGCCAAATCCAAGCCCAATTCACACAGACCGGGGGCCTCACGAGTACTCACCCGGCAATGATCACCACACAGACTGAGAATAATCCACCGCAGATGGCGACCAAGGACCAGGACCCTCCACCGCACACGCGGCAGACAGGACTTAGACTCTTCGGGCCACCAGGCTCATGGCTCAGAGATACTGGTCCTCAAGCCGGCCCGAGGCCAAAAAGGTGAAGGACGCTACCCCTATTGCTCTGCAACCCTAGGGATGCCATCAGCCCTTAGCGAGCACATACCTAGTGTGGGTGTTGGCTAAAACCGGACTGACCATCTGAAGTGAGCGGCCGCTGCCTGCACTAACCACCGAGAGCCGCAAAACATGACCAGGATTAAGTGTTCTCTCCTCTGAGTGACTCTAATGTGTTGTGCACTACGATAAGAACAATGTTTGTTTGTCCTATGACTTGCATGTATAGCTAGCCACACTACAACCATAGGCCTTTCCCCTCAAACCCACACTCTTTCAGATTATAGGCTCAGATCCAAAAGTTAACACATTACATGAGAAGTGGAGAGGAAAGAGGGGCCAGACCCAAACGTAGAAACATACTACTGATAAGCCAAGCATGTGCATGTCACACAAACATTTACCATTTACATAATACACATAATACACAGGACCAGACAGAGGTGAGGCTCATCAATCTGCTGCTCAAGCACGTCTCTCCTAGTTAACATACAAGTATAGCCAGTCAGTATAGCTTGACTTCTCATCACATATTGTGCCATCACTGACTAGCACTCTTGACAACCTTTTAAAACAAAAATGTGCAAATGTTCCCTGTGCCACGACTGTTTAATCTTGTTTACCTCGGTACATGCTAATGCTGTTGGGGCAATGCATGAAAGCTTGTAACATTAACCTATGCACGAAAAATAAAGAATTTTTTTTTTTTTTTAAAGAAAGAGGGAAGTGCTCATGCCATGGTACAGAACACTGGTGAGACCTCTGGAGTATTGTACGCAGTACTGGAGACCGTATCTACAGAATGATATTGATACTTTAGAGAGCGTTCAGAGAAGGGCTACTAAACTGGTTCATGGATTGCAGGATAAAACATACCAGGAAAGGTTAAAGGATCTTAACATGTATAGCTTGGAGGAAAGACAAGACAGGGGGGATATGATAGAAACATTTAAATATATAAAGGAAATCAACACAGTAAAGGAGGAGACTATATTTAAAAGAAGAAAAACTACCACAACAAGAGGACAGTCTTAAATTAGAGGGTCAAAGGTTTAAAAATAATATCAGGAAGTATTACTTTACTGAGAGGGTAGTGGATGCATGGAATAACCTTCCAGCTTAAGAGGTAGAGGTTAATGCAGTGAGGGAGTTTAAGCATGCGTGGGATAGGCATAAGGCTATCCTAGACTTAAGATAAGGCCAGGGACTAATTAAAACTATTTCAAAATATTGTGCATACTAGATGGGGCGAATGGTTCTTATCTGCCATCACATTCTATGTTTCTAAGTATCACAGTCAAAATGCTACCACTGTATTTTGTATCTAAATAAAAGACTGCTTTAAGAAACCAGAAGGTGTGCATGGATTTCTGTGAAACAATATCTAAGGGTTGGTTTCAGTAATATATTGTAATTAATACATTAACCCCTTAAGCATACAACATGTGTGACATGTCACGATTCCCTTTTATTCCAGAAGTTTGGTCCTTAAGGGGTTAAAGGAACACTATAGCATTAGGAATACAAATATAGAGCCCTAGTCACCTAAGCGGTTACTAGGGCACCTTCCGCGGCGAATAAATGGCTAATTAACCATTTATTTACTTACCTTAATGCAGCGCTGGTCACCTCCATCAACGTCAGCTCCCGAGTGGAGCCGAATGCGCATGTGTATGTACCTCAGAATGTGTGTCTGACAGAGAGTATCCTTGTGTGTGTGAATGTATGTCTCTGAGCATGTTTGCGATTTTGTCTGGGACCGTATGTATATGGGGTAGCTGCTTGAAGTGTGTTGTGTGTATGGGGGTCTGCCTATGGCCTTTGTGCATTATGTTTATGGCAAAGCTATGTTTCCTGACTGTGTGTATGATGAATGTCTTCAGCTGGTGACTGTGACAAGGTAAGTAAAGGGATACCAGAGGCAAGGGGAGTGTGACAGGGCAAAGGGGGGTTTGGAGGGGGTGAGATTAACAGGATTAAGAGTGGATAATGTGTGTGGATGCATGAAGAGTCTGACAGTGTAGGGAGGGGTGACAATGTGTGGGAAGGTGACAGTGTGAGGGGATGCTAACAGTGTGTCTGGGAAGGCTGACAGTGTGTGGGAGTATGGTGACACAACATTGTTGTGGGGGGCATGACAGTGTGGGTGTGATCCTGTGTGTGAGAGGGTGATGGTGTGAGGGTAACAGTGTAAGGGAGGCTGCCCAATTAGAGGGCTGCCTCTGCACTTCGGAGTGCTTTCATTTTGAATTTAGGTGATGCACCAAAGACAGGATTACTGAAGGTCTCCATTGTATTTTTATTGATGGAATATTAAATTACGTTAAAAACAAATGAAATTGCACTTTGTATGTGGTAAGCACCAGACTTTTCACATTTTCCATGGTGATTGCCTCACTACAGACCACTTTTAATAACAAACCACATTGATAAATCCCTAATGTGTCTATTTCCTGGACTGAACAGGATTGTGATGCCAATTGCTAAATATTTAATATAAAAGTGAAGTGAACATTGCATGAAAAAAATGATTTCTTTCAAGTTAACAATTAAAGGGTTATTAACTCTTTAAAAACCCGATTCCATTACTAATGTTCATCAGCGCCGGCTAGGTTTCGTCCTACGTCAGTGCCAAGCGGGATTCTAATGCGCCTTAGGCCTTCCACATAGGAAACCAATGAATTAATGCTCCTCTAGTGGCTGTCTCGTAGTTTTTCTGAAACTGCAATATTTTAGATTGCAGGTTTAAAGGGACAGAACACCCAGACCACTTCAATGAGATGAAGTGGTCTGGGTTTCTATATTGTTCCTTTAAATGTGCACGCCAGGCTGGAAATAGCCTTCTCATTTTTTAAAGTATTGTATAGGCCATGTAAATACGCAAAAAAAAAAACAATCTAAAATAAAATTAAAGATATATTCTTAAGTTAACTTTTTCTGAAAGTTCCAACACATTACATCAAGTAAAACCAAGAAAGGTCTACTTAAAGGAATACAGTAGACACTTTGTTAAAGTGCCTAGAGTCCACTGGCACCGTACCTCCATTCACTGTTAAACCATTTTCCAGCAGTTTAAAACTAAATATGGGTCCCTTGCTGCCCACAGATGGACCCCTACTGGAGATGTGGCAAAGGCAGAAATAACACTTTTATCTAGCTATACTGATTCATGCCTGCAATGGGCACTGTGAGAGACTGAATGCGGTTAGTTGATATTCTTAGCTAATCACAGCTGCATTTTGATGCTCAGGCTAATGCTTCCTTATCAACACTAGCAGAACAGTCATCAGACTGTAACTATTACACAGTAGCTATAGGACCTAACAGTAGTTGACACATAAAATCTAATGCTTTAAAAAAGAAATGTGAGTAAAATAAATAGGTCTAAATAACCAGGGCAATGTCTAAGCATGCTGGAACCCCTTTTCCTCAAACGAAGGCCACTCATACCCAAGTAATAATGGTATCACAGCTCCAACTGGTTACCTAAAGTGATGGATCAACCCATATAGTGAGAATCTGGCCAGTACTGGAAGGATATGAATTAAACAGTTTCTTTAGCCAACTGCTTGCCACTGAATATTTTGAGCGGGCTCATGTTCAAATATTTAGGATAAGCAGTGGTATGGGATTAGCGTGCTGCACAACCTTCGTGTTTGGTAAGTCTACCTGATAACTTCAGGTGAACTTATGCTCCACTACAAGTCACTTGGGCTGTGCACTCTGGCAAGGGGCCATCACCACCTCCTCAATATGGAGCACTAACGTTGTCAACTTCCATTTCTGGGGCTCATCCTAAAGGATCCGGGGGATGGGGGTCCAACTGGAAGAAAGGCTACCATATTTAGGCCATAACTCGGGAGAATGATACTTCCAGTCACCAGGATTCTTAGTTACTGCCACATATATGAGTTTATAGAGGGGGACAAGTAATTCTCATAGAAACTCTCAACCTCCCATAAAGCAATATCGAAACCGTTGAGGTCTCAGGATGAGCAATCCCTGCAGGGGTGCTAAAGCAGTTAGACACCAACTCTAAACAGCTGAGATTACCACCTCCTGATATATCAATCCCCCATAACCTAAATAACACATAACGCTGCAGCCCGGACAGCAGTAAAACCTCATGGGATTTATAGAGATTACCCCCTCTACGTCCAATCAAAGTAACCCCTTTAGAAATGATTCTCCCCTCCAGGGTAAATAAAATCATTGGGATCCAACGGGGAATGCCCTGCTCAACCTCAGACCACAGACACCTTGGTGGGGACTTGCCCAGATACAGGCCGCCATTTTGGGCGGTAAAGTGAACCACGAAGAAGACTTTGTGTTGGGAAATCATATTTAAGCGCTCTATGTCCTTGTTGCAATACTACTTATAAAAAAAGAAAAGAAGGGGTACATTTTTATCATTCATCTCTATACATCTAGCAGGGGGATTGCTCCCACCCCTCATCACTGAGACAACATAGTATTTACATATTACTACATCCCTCCCACTTTATGGACAACCTTTCCCCACCAGCTATACGTCTCCCTATAAACATTGCTCACTCCCCCTACAGCCAGTATGGCTATTAAACTACTCTCTATTAATGTTAAATGCCCCAAAAAAGTGTAGACTCCTACTAAGGGACATGAATGCAAAAATGTAGATATCGCTCTTGTTCAGGAGAACACACCTCTCCACGTCGGTTCATGTCACTTTAACAGATCAGGCATATACTACTATATATAAGGCGCAAACCCACCGTAAACTGACAGGAGTAGCCATTTTAGTACATAAAAGATGCCCACTCCAGATAACAGTTAGCCAAATGGACACAGAGGATAGATACATCTCCATCACTGGTACCCTACATGACGCTAAACTCCGGCGGTAAATCGTAGCTCGACACCAGGCACTCTTAGATCTCATGGACAAGGGAGTCAAGACAAGCTAATACACACTTTTCAACATCGCACAGATCCAATGGATGTATGGAGACTTCAACCCCCTGATACACTTGATTACACATTTTACTCCCCATCTCACAACACACTCCAGGATTGATAACATATTGTTCAACGGGGTAGGGATGACTAGAGCCATTCATTCATAAATCAATCGTATAACCTGGCCCGACCATGTTGATATCACAGTAACCTTCAGTAAGTTACAATATAACACTAATTGGCCATGGAAACTCAATACTAGCTATCTTCAGGATAAGATTATTACTGAATCCACCAGAGGGGCTACTTCACGCTGCATGCCACCCCTAATATCAACCCCACAGTACTATGGGCAGCTGATAAGACTGTTCTTCAGGGACATTATATCATGGTGGCCACAAAAAAAAAAAAAAAAAAAATCAAACAATTTTTATTACAACTACATTCTGCCTTGATTAAAGCGGAACACCACCACAAAACTCCTACCGCTTCCAAACTAACTGAACTTAATGCGTTACAACATTCCATCAAGGAAATATCCCTTGAGAATGTAGCTAGGTCAATGTAATGGTGTAAGCGGATGTTTTATGTAAAAGCAAACAAGATGGACACTATAAGTTAGGACTTTGCGACCAAGACAAAATCCACTCTGTGACTAATTATTTGGCCACTACACCCAAAGTAATTAACAAGGTGTGTACTCAGTTTTTCACAGCCCTTTATAACCATTCACCCTAACACACTGCAGAAAACAGTGAGGACATATGCTCATTTCTGGCGGCCCTTGGAGCTTCCTAGATTAACTGAAGAGGAGGTTGATCCATTAAAAGCTCTAATCACGCCGGAAGAAGTAGAGGACAAGATAACGGCCCTGAGGGGAAACCTTGCTCCGGGACCCGATGGTTATGACATCAGTTATTATAATAAATTGCAAGAGGAACTCACCCCTCATCTGACAGCTCTCTGTAACCACTTTATGAAAGAAGGAGTGCCTGACGGTGACATGGCCACAGCCAATATCATCCTGCTACCAACACCTGGTAAAGATGAGACTCAAGCTCCAAGTTATAGACCCATTTCCCTAATAAACTCAGATCTAAAGTTTTTGCAAAACTACTAACAAATCGACACTGCTATTGACGAGGTTAATACACCTAGATCAGGTCAGCTTTATGCCGGGTATACAAGTATACGATAAGGCTCATCGAATAGCGGATATGATGTGGTATATGGCGGAATCACACTTGTCTTCACAGGCTCTCTCACTAGACGCAAAGAAGGCATTTGATAGGGTTAAATGGCCATTCCTATTTGAACTACTCTGATCACAGGGCTTTCCTGCAACTTTTATGACAGCCATTCAAGCCTTATATACAGACTTACGAGCACAGACAATAATTACAGGAGAACCCCATTTCCTTTGAGCAATGGAACAAGACAGGGGTGCCCATTATCCCCTCTCCTGTTCGCAATCACTCTGGAACCACTATTTCCGTCCATAAGGACTCACCTGCATATTTAAGGGGTGAAAGTGCTAGGTCAACAATTTACTGTATCGGCATATGCCGACAATGCACTTCTTACCCTCATGGACACAATATTCACTCCAAAACACTTAACACTGTTAGAACACTACGGGGAACTATCCGGCTACAATATTCATGGCTATGCAGTTTCATCTTTCTGCCCTGCACATGACAAAAAGTGATAGACTTAAAGCAGCACTGTCATGGCCGAATCCCTTTTTTTTTTAGATAATGAGGGGGGACCTACTGTCCTCCTCCTGGCCCCCACCCCTGCGCGGTGGGTCGGGCCATAAATTACAATGGGGGGGACCTACTGTCCTCCTCCCCCCGGCCCCCACACCTGCGCGGTTGGTGGGGGCCATAAATTACAATGGGGGGATGGGGACCTACTGTCCTCCCCCCACGGCCCCCATCCGTGGGCGGCGGCCATAAAGATAATGGGGGGGGGGACCTACTGTCCTCCCCTCCCCCCTGGCCCCCACACCTGGGAGGCGGGTGGGGGCCCTAAAACAAATTCCCCCTGCAATATCTAGACCATACGCAACAGACAAAAAGGGGAAAAGCACTGGTACCTTAAATTATAAACTATAAAGTTTGAATTGTTATTTGTTTTAACAAACAGATGGAAAAGTTGTCAGGCGGACATACCATATGCTATGACCATCCTCACTTCTACTGTGAAAACTTTCGATTCTACATATTGTGACTGGGACTTCAACAATGACCAAACTTAATGATTTAAAAACACTTCACATGCCCTATATTGTCATGCTACCCTCAAATGATTTTTTTATTGTTATTGTAATGTATGTCAAAAGCTCTAACATTGAACCTGTTTGCCTTGCATTCTATTAATAAAGAATATTAAAAAATATATATATATTTTTTTTTTCATGCCATTGTGGAGTTCCAAAAAGAGAAAATCTGTGGCTCTTTGCGAACTATAGACTAAAGTTGCAGTTGTCCTCAAATGTAAGAGACAAAGCAGGTCTTAAAAGATGGTTATGTATGCAGTCAGGTTCTTCTGTGTAGCTTGGTGACTGTTATACAGTTAAGGTTTTATATGCATAGAGCCTCCATGAGGCTAGTTACAATGGTGGGTAAACTATGCCCCTAAAGATAATCTTACCTATTCAACCCATGCTCCTAAAGAAAACTCCACCTCTATTATATCTAATCCCAAGTACACCTCTTTTCTAGGAGCTCACAAAGTCTGGTTTGTATAACAGAGATACACAACAAGACAAATCACAGTAATTTGTGATTAGCCTGTAAGTTGGTCACAAGGTTTCCCCTTTTTGGTAATTTTTAATGTTGGTACAAAGAAACTGCAGTGAATCAAAACCTAGCAGAAAAGCTTGTGTTCTTGATTTTGACTCTGAAAACCATTCTATTAAGAACCTGTGGTAGTTAAAAAAATTTAAATATTTTAGCAAAAGCACAATATAATTGAACAATCAAGAATATTGTATAATAAGCATAATGAACATAATTTTATAATTTAAAGGAAGTATAACAATGAGGAGTAGTAACGTCGGCAAGACTGGGACACAGCTGGATGTAAGGTGGGTTTAACGTTTTTTTTAATTTATGGTGGAGGCAATAATCTAATGCCACTAGGAACACACTAATATTTAGATACACATATATATTTATAACATGATTAGAATGTTTCTTCATTACAAAGACTGGAAGTTGAGACCTTATGGACTCTGCATAAATAAAGTGGGTATGGGTAATGTTCACCACACTATTCTACTTTCAAGCTGCTGCTATTTAAATTAGACCATATCCCTATAAGGCTATTGCAGGAGAGGACCTGAGAAGACAGAAATTGAGCAATTCTGTCTCACTAGTTCCCTGCCAGCAGGGAAATGAGCTAAATTAACGCAGCAATCAGTGTTGCTGAATGTAAGAGCAAAATTCCAAGATTCCATGACAAATTAACCAGGTTAGTAGCAAAAGAAGTATGTATATATAATGTGTAAATGGAGAATGTATTAAATATCTATATCTCTAATCTTTTTCAGATCATGGCCCATTGTAATATGTATTTGTGCCTATGAATTCTTACAATATGAATCAGGTCATGAACTTTCATACAGATGTGTTTTTTTTTTTTTTTTACACACAGCATGTATCATCTAAGCCCAGTAATGGTTTCTACAATATTGACAACCAAACCATGTATAATAAAAAAAAAAAACAATATGCTTGAATAAAACAAATGTGTATAAAAAACAGGTTTATTGAAATTTACCAATGACAAAAAGACAAATGCAGTTTTCGGCTGTCCTGGGAAATTGGAAGCCGCTGATCACCTTCTGGTGACATGTTATCGATAGGGGACCGCAAGAATTACGTCTAAATCAGAAACAAAATTTTGCCAGCATTAAAACATTTGCAAGATCCTTTAGCCAATTGGAGAGGATCTATTGAACTAGAAAACACAAAACTTGAAACAAATTGTGTGCTGGAGTAAAAAACTGAAGGAACCTTGTATACCAAAAACATAGGCTTTCTAAAAATATAGCCAAACGGCTTTACTGGGAAGGACCAGAAACAAATGTAGCTTTTGACAGTGTTTGGTTGAGTGGCTCTGTATATTTGTATTGGAGACATCACCTGCGGGCACTATGCGTCCAATACAAATATAAATAAATATATATATACACACACACACACACACACTCATCTGTGTGTACTATGCCTCCAATACATAGTTATAGTGATGTGCACTAAGAATTAGCTTGCCTTACAGAGAAAATGGCCATTATAAATATTACTATTGCCTAGGAGGGAGGCCTTGTGCAGACTGAAAGAAAGTCATGTGTAACAAAAAACTAAATTAAATCACAGGAAAAATGCCAATGGATCATGTGCCTTGTTTTCTGGATTGACACTGAAAACACATTGTACTTTCTTCCATGCTCTGCAATTGACTTGACAATTAAAAGGAGTGGTAAACAATGCACAAAGTTAAACCGAATGGTTAATTTCTCGCCTGAAGCCCAACCAACAGTCCAAAAACAAAAACGGTTTCCACTTCTATAGACTGTGTGCTACACACTGGGACCTACATAGGGTAAAATTTTAAAATTAAGGCAAAAGCCACATTTATTGTAAATTTACCATTGATTCATAATACTGCTGCTTTGTAAAAAATACAGGAACATTACTTCTTGTGAATACTAAATCAATGAGTATCAAGTCTGCAGTCTCTACAACCTCTGGATCTTGTGGAAGAAAATGTGATGGGCCTATAAAAACACAAATAA